AGACCTTGGCCCCAGCAGGGCTCTGGCAAGACAGCTCTGTCCCTTTCTGGCTGTGTGATCTTGGATGACTGCTCCTCTTCAAACCATTGTTTCCTGTTATGTAGAGTAAGGAGCCTGGTAGCAATGACTGAGGTGACCCCAGCACCCTGCCCAGCAGAACACAGTCCATTGTGATGCTGCTGCTGATGGAAACCTGTGTTGGAGCCACTGGCCAGGGGTGCACTGTCCAGCCTGACACGAGGCTCTGGAGAGACCAGCTGAGCAGCATGGGGACAGTGCTTAGAAGGCCCCTTGTGGCCCCCAGCGGGTGCAGCCAGGAAGGGCCCTTCGTGGGGAGTTGGTCTCTGCAGGCCAGTGCAGGTGATGCAAGTTGTTCCACGTGGTGGTCCAGCAGAGCCGGGTGCTGCCAGGGAATCCTCTGCAGGGAAAGGGAGCCAAGCCATGGCGTGGCAGGACAGGGGCAGGTAGGATGGTGTACACTCACCAATTCCATCCTGCTGTATTTCCCTGCCTTCCGTGATATCTATACTACAGCCTTTTCAGACAGTCCAGCCCTTGCCAGCACATCTGACCATGACCTCCCTGCCCTCTGTGCACATGATGTGCACCATGTGGCTCTGTTTGTGCCCAGGTATTGTGTCCACCAGTCCTGCTCATCCTTGCCACTGCATCGCTGCACCCTGTGTTGACCCATACCCAATGCTTGCCCAGGGCCTGAGGGAACATTCTGTGGGGGATGTGGGACACGCGTGTGCTTCCTGGCTCCTGGGTGGAAGCTGCCCAGGCCATTTTCCCACCCGCACACACACAGCATGGGTGAGATTTGCTCACCTCCACTGCCTACACGGCATTTCCTGCTCCCGGCTCTGCCAGGTGTCGATGCCGAGCCACCTTGCAGTTCTCAGGCACCACCTGCTCGTGCCCACAGCTCAGGGTGCAGGGAGCCCCTTGGTCTGTGTAGGACTTTGAGGGACATTCCACATTTCAGCGCCTTGTCAATTTTAAATGTAGACGATTGGTGGTAGTACTTACAGTCTGTTAACTGGCCAAGGTGTTGGCTTCTGAATAGAAATTCTTCAGGTTTGATGTAGTGTGTGTGTGAGCATTTTACTTAGAGCCTTACCGTAAATCACAGAAGTATTCACCTTGCTTCTCCTGAGCACCTGTCACGGGGTAGGGAGACAGGGGCATCACATCTCTGTGTGCAGGACGGAGCCCGTACAGGTCTGGGAAACAGGAAGTGAGGCTGACTGGGGAATCAGGCTGAAACCCAGGGCTGTTCACGCTGGGTTCTCAGGGCATGAGGCCGAGGAAAGCCACCGAAGTGACTCAGAACCCGATTTACTGAAGGGAAAGTGTGTAGCCAGGGGCTCCTGGGTGGGAAGTGGGGCAGCTAGACTCCAGTCCTCAGCGGGCTGAGGGGAAGGATGGCCCAGCCTGACCCCAAGCACCATGGAGGTGCCCCGTGACTGGCTTCCAGGCTCCCACAGCCTCTTCACCAACCCATCACCCCCTGGAGGTCAGTTCCTGTTCTGGCAGGTCCAGCTGGGCCCCAGGAGGCGGCCTGTTTACAGCTTCCCTCTAGGGTATCTCCATCTGTGGACACTTCCTGGCTTCTCATGCTCCTGTGTTGCCCTTCCTGAAGCTGTTACCTGGGATTGTTGCCCTCACCTCACCTTTAGTCTCCGACTCCTGCCAGGTCCCGCAGTTCAGCACCTGTGACAGCTGCTAGAATGCTGGGCCTGACACTTCCCCACCCCCAGGCCTGTAACTGGGTGCAGCTAGTAAATCTAAATGCTAGTGGGAAGGCCTGCAGCTGAGGACAATGCACCGTGCCTTTCTGCACACCCCGCACCCACCTTCTCAGGGTCCCTGTGGTGCTCTGGACCCCCTCAACCAGCAGCTTGAGGAAGGCACCCTTACTGCTGTTCCAACAGAATGAAGCCCAGTGTCAAACTCTGCTCTGGCTGGCTGGCTGGCTGTCCTCCCCCTGCAACTCCCCCACCCTGTTCTGTTCCCCTTTAAATAATGCCCTCTCTGCTTTAGCCACTTCCTGCCCTTCTGTGAACCCTAAAATTCTGAAACCTAACAGGGGCCAGTATGGAGAGGGCTGGCACTGGGTCCCTCAGGCTGCACACAGCAAGTGCTCCCGGGCCTCTGTTGTTGCCATTGGGGTTTGGCATCAGCATCTGAGTGTAGAGCTCCAGACCTAGTTCAAAAATAGAGATATTTTGTGACTGATTCAATTGACAGTAAACTTTGGAACAGAGCTGTTTTTTTTAGCTATTTCTGAATAAATTTTTCTACCATGTGGCCCTCTTGAAACAAGCTAGTACTAATTGTTACCAGTATTTACTAATTACTTATTATCTTTACTATGTTACTAATTATATGATTTGTGAAATATTTGAAACTTTTTCTTGCATTTGGAAATCATCAGGGTTAGGCAGTGTCCCCTTCCTTGATAGGGATGCTGTACCCGTGGGCCTGAGCTAAGCATATGCCTGGACAGCATGACTGCCTGACTTGATTCCTCTGCTTCAGGACAGTGGTGCCTGCGCGGGGCTGGATGTGGAGACTGAAAGCCATGGCCTATCAGGAGCCCCGTAGAGCCATTCCTTCAAATGGGACAGTGGGGTTCATGCTGGAGTATGTCAGAGCCTGGTGGGTGGGGCACTCCCTTTTCCACTGTCTCCGTGCCAGCTGGCCTGAGGTCTGGCCCCACAGGGGAGGCTGGGCCAGCGCCGCTGGCTCTGCTGCTGAGAGCTTGTGCAGAAACCTGAACCACTTGCTGCCTCCTCCCTGTGTTCATCACTGCCTGTCAGGCGTCAGGAGTTGGTTCAGTGTGGCCAGCAGTGACTGGAGGCTGCTGGGCTGCACTGCCATGTGGCTGGCCAGGAAGTGTTCTTTCTTCTGGGGACATCTTTTTCAAGGGCTCAGTAAATCTGAGGTGGGCAGGTTTCTGGATTGCCAGCTGATCCTGGGTCCTGCAGGCGGCAGCAGAACCACAGTGCTGATCACAGCTCTGGCTGCCTGCTTAGCAGGACTCAGGCTTCTAGAGTTAGGGTTTTGGGCTTTTTCCTCCGTTGTGATTTTCCACATGACAGCAAGACCCTGGTTGACAATGTCCCTTCTACTGTGTTGTAAAGATGCTTCACCCTCCTGAAAGGAACTGCTGAAGTGTGGGGTTGAAGCTCGGGTTTGGACCCCGTGTTTGGGGAGAGCTGCCAGGCTGGCGGGAGCTGGGGGGTGCCATCTGAGACAGTCCAGTTCCCGCAAGCGTGCTGGAAGTCACAGCAGGCTGCACACCAGCCTCGGGGAGTGAGAACGCCACAGAGCAGCGCTCGATGCAGGAGTGAGGCCAGCCCTCACCCATCTCTGGCAGCCTGTAGGATCTGTCACCGCCTCTTCCAGCTAGGCACCAGTTTTGGGTCTGGCTGTTCTTCCCATACAGTTGCCTGCTCCTGGTATATGCTGCTGAAGCGAGCACTGCTCTGTGCCTGGAAAAGCAGTGGAGGATGGCTGAAGTAACTGGGCTCCTCCCACCCACGTGGGAGACCCAGAGCTCCCGGCTCCCGGCTCGGCCTGGCCCAGCCCAGTCACTGCAGCCAGGTGGGAGAGAGCCAACAGAAGAAAGAGTTGTCTGTCCCTTTCTCTCTGTGACTCTGCCTGTTCAGATAAATAAATCTTTTCTTTATAGAGAAATCAAATAGGAAGGGGTCAGCACTGTGGCATAGCAAATAAACTTCCCATATGGGCACTTGTTTGAGCCCCGTCTGCTCCAATTCCAATCCCGTTCTTTGTTCATTCACCTGGGAAAGCAATGGAAGCTGGCCCAAGTGCTTGGGAGATGCAAGTCAAGCTGCTGGCTTCAGACATAGCCCTGGCTGTGTGAACACCTGGAGGGTGAACCAGCAGATGGAATGTTCTCTTTCACCCCTCCCCTTTTCATTATCCCTGTGTCTATGTAACTCTTTAAAAATAAATAAGTAAACCTTTTTTTTTTTTTAATTAAATAACATGGGCCTGGCATGGTAGCCTAGTGGCTAAAAGTCCTCACCTTGAATGCGCCAAGATCCCATATGGGCACCGATTCTAATCCCAGCAGCCCCACTTCCCATCTAGCTCCCTACCTGTGGCCTGGGAAAGCAGTGGAGGACAGCCCAAAGCCTTGAGACCCTGCACCCATGTGGGAGACCTGGCAGAAGCTCCTGGCTCCTGACTTTGGATCAGCTCAGCTCTAGCCATTGTGGCCACTTGAGGAGTGAATCATCAGATGGAAAATCTTGCTCTCTGTATATCCTTCTCTCCCTAAATCTGACTTTCCAATTAAAAAAAAAAAAATCTTTTTTAAAAAAAGTAAATATAATAGCAGTGGCAAGGGGTTGGCTGAGGTTTGGGGAGACCAGCAGGCCCCTCTGCATGCTCAGGCTGTGCGCTCTGTCCTCACAGCTCAGCCAGGAGCAGTTCCTCAGTCACCGGGTTCTGTTTGACTTAGTAGAGCTTGTTTCTCCTTTCAGACATGAACAGCAGGCAGTTTAGCACACTGTGACCCTGACAAAGCCACACAAGGCTGAACTTCGCCATCTGCGGGCCTACGTGGGGCTGTTTGGAAAGCTGCTGACAGCTCCCAGCTGGGCTGCAGCTGGCGGCCTCTGTGAGCGCCAGAACTCGGGCAAGCCTCCATCTCCTGTCTCTGAGATGGAGTGGTTATTCCAGAAGGTGCCCATGGGCCCGCAGCCCAGCAGGCTTGCTGTGTAAATTAAAAGATAGTTTGGGCCTGAGTTGCCAGTTAGCTGTTCTAGTCCCTCCAGCTGCAGGAGCTCTCTCAGCCTCTGCTGCTCACCTTCCTCTCTGCCCTCCCTTCCCTGAGCAGCTCGTGCTGTTCATCGTCCCTGATGAGCCTGGGGAGGATGGCTGGCCCAGGACCCCTGTGCCGTAGCAGGGGGCAGGTGGGCAGCCTTCCTAAGCCCCGCCTCACTGCAGGATCTGTCTCCCAGGTGGGGAACTACAAGAGGACGGTGAAGCGAATCGACGATGGCCACCGCCTCTGCAGCGACCTCATGAGCTGCCTGCATGAGCGGGCACGCATTGAAAAGGCATACGCGCAGCAGCTCACCGAGTGGGCACGGCGCTGGCGCCAGCTCGTGGAGAAGGGTAAGGACCTTGACCCCTGGCCCAGCAGCTCACAAGCTCATTCTGGATTCCCTGCTGGCAGTTGCTTCTGTGATGAGAGAGCAGCAGGTGCCCTCCCTGGAGGCCTGGGCTGTGTGAGCTTTTGTCTCTTGCCTTGAAGACTGGGGACTGCTCTTTGCACACAGTGGCTGAGTCTCATGAACCAGCCCTGTCATCCATAGGACACACTCCCTGTGCTGGCCCAATTCAGAACAGCTCCCACCAGGCAGAAGGCCTTGCTGCCCAGTTCCTTCATTTCCGGTGCCGGTCACTCTTCCAGGTGGCCGTGTAAAGGCAGGGGAGGAGGGGAGGCTGTGTGGCAACTTCCAGGCTTTCTCTATTTGGATGTGGCAGGTGTAGGATGGTGGTTTGGCCCCTCCTTCTCTCCATCTCAGAAGGTTCTGAAGCTTAGTTCTGGACGCTGATGTGCAGATGGTCAATGCCGAGAACGTGTTACACAGCAGAGGGGACATACATGTTGTTGGGAATGGGTTTCCTGGGCTGAGATAAAAAGGGCTTTTCCAGGGGTGGAGAACAGACCACTTTGCTGTGAGCCAGCTTGGTGGCATCATTGTGAGTGCCCCGGGGACCTGCCCAAGGCTTCCCCTTGGGGCACTCTGAACTCTGTCACTGCAGCTCTCCCTCCTAAGCCTCAGCCACTCCACACTGTCCTCTTAGCAAAAACCACAGCCTGGACTGAGTGGAGAGTGAGGGGACAGCCCCCACCCACTGCCCCAAGGCTTCCATCTGGGTGTCCACCTTCCTGCCCAGGAAAAGGCTCTCAGTCTGCCTGGGAGACAGTCCTCTCCCCAGAGTCTGAGTGGGGGACCAGAGGCAGCCACAGGGTAGGGCAGGGGATGGGTGAGTGTGTGCAGCATCCTTCTGTGGCCACCGTTGTGCTTCTATTGTGACTTCAGGACACAGAAGTTTGACTTTGTAAAAGCAGCACACAGGACAGTGCACGGGATTCCCCAGCGTCCTATTGGCAGAGCAGCAGAGCTCTCCATCACCGGAAGACCACAGCCAGCAGTGACCGCGCTCCCAGGAGCCTCTGTGGGCACTGCCCAGAGCCCGGCCAGTGCTGCGTAACACACTGCCTCTTCCCACCAGGGCCGCAGTATGGGACCCTGGAGAAGGCCTGGATAGCGGTCATGTCCGAGGCAGAGAAAGTGAGCGAGCTGCACCTTGAAGTGAAGGCCTCTCTGATGAATGAGGACTTTGAGAAGATCAAGAACTGGCAGAAGGAAGCTTTCCACAAACAGATGATGGGGGGCTTTAAGGAGACCAAAGAAGCTGAAGATGGCTTCCGAAAGGCACAGAAGCCCTGGGCCAAGAAACTGAAAGAGGTACTTTCCACCCGACGCTCTCTCCCTCCTGCTGGCCACCCCACCCGCTCCCCACACTTCCACAGCTGGCAGAGGCACTACCCTGCAGGCCAGCAGGTTGCCCTGCTAAAGCCCCTAGTGCCTGATGTTCAGTCTTTATTGGTAGTCCACACCCCCTCGTGTTGCAGGCTTAAAAACCAGGCATCAGAACCACGTGGTGATGGAGCTCCAACCCAGACTCCTGGCTGCTGACCACCACGGGACTGTCAGAGCCTAAGAGTGCGGCTTCTCAGGACGCCTTGTCTCTGTCCCCCAGCAGTGCTGAGCGCCGCACCCCAGTTCTGGTTCTGACCGTTGCCGGCCCCGGGAGGCCATATAGTCACTCAGATCCCAGCCCTGCCGCCCTCCTGGGAGGCCTGGATTTAGTATCTGGCTTCTGGCCTCGGCCTCACCAAGCTTCAGGCGTGATGGGCACTGGGCAGCAAATTGGCATACTGGGAATCTGGCTGTCCGTCTCCTCTTTCTGTGTCTCTGACCCTCAAGCTTTTTAAGTCTCTGTAGACTGATAGAGAGGATTAATTCAGGTGTTTTTCTTTCTCTTGTATGGGTTTTTCTCCCAAATCTGTAATTGGTACTAGTACTTAAAAAAAAAATACAGCCAGAGCCACTGAGTCTTGAAGGTATGGCGAGTCAGAGGCTGCTCCCCACTCCTCGTCCCCAGCCCCCAGCAGCAACAGCAGCTGAGCCACCCGCTTCTACCAGGAGCTGCACTGCCTCCTCCTCCCCGTCACCCAGTGCAGGCGCTTCCCCCTGCTCCCCTCTTCTCTCTGAGACCCTGGCTCCCACCTGCCTTTTCCCTTAAGAACCAATTGTGCGTGTGTGGAATGGGCCTCTGGCCTGCCTCCCAGGCACAACCCCTCCCTGTGCTGAGCTTTCTCCTGTGCAGCTCTCGGCAGTCACGCCTCAGCCGCCAGGCCCACAGCAGCCTTGGATCTTGCTCCCAGTGGTCTCAGGCTGCATCCCACCCTGCTGTGTCATCCCCATAGCACTTCGCAGCCTATGAGTTAGCTGAGCATTTAATTGTTCTCCTTTGCAATGTGAACTCCAGAAGCTTCCCGGAAGCCAGGTGCCTAGACCGTTGCATGATACAGAGCAGCCCCTGGTCAGTCCACGTTAGGACCCATTGTCACGATGGTCTGAGTCTTGGAGGCACGTGCTTCCCACACTCCCAGGGTCCTCAATAGCCAGCCGAGTGGCCGGTGCTCAGGGCTTCCTTCTCGCTGCAGGTGGAGGCGGCCAAGAAAGCCCACCATGCAGCATGCAAAGAGGAGAAGCTGGCCATCTCAAGGGAGGCCAACAGCAAGGCAGACCCATCTCTCAACCCTGAGCAGCTCAAGAAACTCCAAGACAAAATAGAGAAGTGCAAGCAAGACGTGCTAAAGGTACGCCATGCGTTCGTCTGCTCGTGGGGTGCTGGTGGGTCCCTGGTTCTTGTGTCAGGGAACCGCTGGGGGGTGGGGGCTGGCAGAAAGATAAATAGCAGTGAGTCCTGTATCAGGATGGACACTCAAGGGAGCACCTCTCCTCTCCACAGCCCTATGCCCACCTCAGGTGAGTGGGCTGCCAACCAGGCTGAGGGCAGGAGAGGAGCCTGTGCTGCACACGGGCGTGGGAGTGGGCAGGGGTTCATAAGCCAGGAGGAGGCTTGTGAAGACCAATGAATGCTGAGTTGAGAACCGACTAAGTGAGGAGCTTGGAGCGGCCTGGGGCCTGGGGATGGAGAAAAGAGCTCAGTAGGACTGCTCTGATGGGAGTGGAGGCCGGAAAGCCCAGTGCATGGGGCTATACAGCAGCAGGGCTGGGAAAGGGAATGGAATTGCCCTGCAGCCATCAGGGAGGACAGTGGCAATGAGAGGCCACGTGGCTCCTTGGTGCCCTCTGCTTCAGTGTCGAAGGAATCTTGTACAGTGTGGCATGCTCCATGGGCATGGGTGGTAATCACCTATGCAATGCCAGGGAAATGGAACCTGGCAACTGGGCAGCTTCTTGTAAGAACACTGTCCCGGGAAGCGAAGGCTCGGCCTCTTGGTGCTGTGTCCCTCATCTGGCCTGCCGGAGGGTGCCTGGCAAGCCCTGCCCTGCTCCGCTGTGCAGAGAGCCCTGCTCCATCAGCAGTGGTTGCCCTGAGTCCCCCTGATGGACACTGGCCTCCAGACATGTGGTTTGAGCCCTCGGCTGTGGGTCTGAGGTTCCTGAACTGGGGCCTCACCACAGCACTTCTGGCCCATCAGCACTGGCAGTGTGGAGGCACACTGTCCCTGGTGAGGCTCTCGCGGGCCTGACAGAGATGACTGTCCCCTGTGGTCCTTAGAGGCTCCTGAGCAGGTTGGGGAAGCTTCTGGAAGACACATTTCTGGAGGGTAAAGGGGAGTTTGCCAAGCACCAGTCGGAAAAGGGTGTGTGTGGGAGGGTGGGGCAGAGCCTGTGCTCCAGGGGCCTGCAGGACCTCGAGTCGGGCTCCCTTCGCCCCTCAGGCCTGTGTGTGATGCTGTAGACAGGGAGGTGTAATTCCCCATGGAGCCAACCCTGTAGTGGGAAAGCTTAGGATCCGTATGGCCAGGCTCCAGCCCTGTAACTGCCATCCCAGGCTGTTACATACCCACCAGGTAGCCAAACCCACTGGCCACCAGATGAGAGTGGAGATGACTGTGCTGGGTGACCTTGGATCACGTGTCTCCCAGAGGGACCTGCCTGCTCTGGCCAGTTCCTAGGAACCTCATGCATTTTCTGACTGTCCTTGGACACTGCTGAGCCACGCCACCACTGTGACTCCTTGAAAACAGTCTGGGAAGGACTGGCTATGTGAGGGGCCAGAATAGGGCAGAGTTCAAGGGACAAGGACTTTTTCAAGCTGTCCATCTGTTGCTCATATCTCAGAGCACTGTGAAGTAGGAATTGTCCCCATTTTCTGGAGAAAGAATGAGGCTTCAGGAAAATGTGAGCACCTTCTGGTGTCTGGCTCCAGCTCTGCTGGGACTTAGAGCTGTGCTGTTATCTCAGAGTCGACTCCCTGAGCCCTGCAATGTGGGGCCAGCCTGAGGCAAAGGGCCACCCAGCACAGCCCTCTCCACAGAGAGGACACACACACACTGAGCCCCAAGGTGGCCCTCCCCTCAGCTACGTACCTGGTGGTTCCTGCTGAGAGGCAGTACATGCCAGGAATGGAATTTGTCTTGCAGAAGCAGAGAGACCAGGATTTGAACTTGATATTTGTCAGACTCCAGAGCTTTGGGGAGCCCAGAGAGGCTCCTGGGGCACGTTCGGTGGGCAAGGGGCTTCAGGGATGTGAACCCTTGTCTGTGCCTAACTCTCACTCAGACCAAAGAGAAGTATGAGAAGTCGCTGAAGGAGCTGGAGCAGGGCACCCCGCAGTACATGGAGAACATGGAGCAGGTGTTTGATCAGTGCCAGCAGTTCGAGGAGAAGCGCCTGCGCTTCTTTCGGGAGGTTCTACTGGAGGTTCAGAAGCACCTAGACCTGTCCAACGTGGCTGGGTGAGTTGCTTGAAGCTGACAAGGTCTGTGGGAAGTAGACCCGCACTACGCTGGAGTTCCCACCCATAGGCTGTCTTGCCCATCTGTGCTCTCAATGCCCAAAGGCCTATGTCCCATGCCCTGCACCTGTGGTGGGCGTGGCTGGACCAGCTGACTCTGCCCAATCATCTATGGCAGGGCATGCTCTGCTCTCTGGGGCTGCAGCTAGGACCAGCCACCCCTACTGATTTGAGACCGCCTAGGGTTTTTCAGCATGCCCCACCCCCAGAGTGCTCTGAATTCCAGCTGTGATACTCAGCCCCTTTGGTTCAGAGCAGCTTACTGCTGGCTGGGGGCGCTGGAACCCCAGAACAGCATGGACCCTCTGTGATATAGACCTGGGTCATGTCAGGGCAGCCATGGTGTTTCTTCTGATCTTGCCTGTCTTTGGTCCCATGATGCCTTCATTGGGCAGAGAGCCAGACTCCCTGGTGTCACCGGCATCTGTTGTCTGTCTGCCAGGGCCACCGAGGCTCACTGCAGCAAGCAGTCCACTCCCTGTGCCTCCTGCTGGAGAACAGGAATCAGAGACAACAGTTACTGCAGCTGCTCTGTCACCTCTCAGTCTGTGTGACGGGCTTATAAAGGAGGCAGCATTTTCCCTCCTTTTTGAAGATGAAGCATAGGCCGGCAAGGGGAAAGGCTGTGCAGCGCACAGCGCACGGCGGCTGGGGCCAGGGCTGCGTGCATGTCTCGGCCGGGAGTCTGCATGCCTCTTGCCTTCCTTAGCGTCCCAAGGACACAGCCCTGGTGGGCAGTCATCCCTGTGGCAACTGCAGCACGCAGTAAAAGCTGGGTGCCCCAAGCCCCCAGACCTGCTCCCAGTGCAGAGGCAGACGGCTGTACTCTCCGAAGACCTCAGGTGGCCCTTGCAGCCTTTGGGTTTGGCACATCTGCCTGGTGATTTTTCTCTGCTCCCACAGTTGCCTGCCTCGTGTGTGTGGATCAGGGTACCCCTTGGTGGGTTACAGCCCACCCTACAGATCTTCTTTCTGTTTGGCTCTGTAAAGACCCTGGACCAGAACTCCAATGTACACTTCACTCCCCAGATAGTCACAATGGCTGGAGCTGAGCAGCTGATCAGGAGGCAGGAGCTTTCTCTGTGTCTCCCCTGTGGTTGCAGAGTCCCAAGAATGGAGGGAGAAGGGTTCTCCCCACTTGTCTTCCTCCGCTCCCAGCCTGCATCACTGACACAGGTTGCACAGGTGCACTGATGTGGCGTGGGAGCCACTGGGGGCCACGTGGTTTGCTTTGAGGTGTGTTTGTGAGAAGTCGGAGCTGTGGTGGCTGCAGCTGAGCCCTGCTCCGGCTCTATGAGGTCTGCTCTCCGTGCTGTTGAGATGGCATGTGGAGAGTGGGGGTGAGGGGGCTGGTCCTGGAGAGCCGCGTGTGTCTCTGTGCTGCAGCTACAAAGCCATTTACCGGGAGCTGGAGCAGAACATCAAAGCAGCCGACGCAGTGGAGGACCTGAGGTGGTTCCGAGCCAATCACGGGCCGGGCATGGCCATGAACTGGCCGCAGTTTGAGGTAAGAAGAGGCTGGCTGCACTATGACCCTCTTATCCTGGCAGGGGCCTGGCCTATGGGGTTGAGCTCGTGTGTGAGTTTCTGTGTGTGTTAGGCAGCCCCGGGCCTGGCTGCAATCCACACCAAGTTACTGTGTCCAGTCCCAGGGGCTTAAGGCTTCCCTGAGTCCCTGCTGAGAGTGTGTTCCCTGTAGTCTGTCCATCACTTATTGACCATTGACTGCTGGACTCCTGGAAGCTGATCCCTCTGGGGTGCCATGGAATAGCTGGGAAGGGGGCAGCCCCCTGACCCTCCAAACAAGCTTTTTTGACCCTTGTGGTCAATTCAGTACTTTCCATTCAGAGTGAACTTCTTTCCATCCTGGGACTAAGCCTTCCAGTGTAGCATCAAGTGTTATGGAACAAGGGGGCTATGCAATCTATGCTGGGATCCCTGGACTCCAGGGGACTCCCCTGATGGTAGCATAGCAGGTGGTGGCCCCAGGTCCTTTCCCCTACATCCCTGGGGAAGCGTCCACCCTCCTCATGACAAGCTGAGCAGGTGTAGTCGGGGGTACCAAGTGAGGGCTGGTAAGGGACTTGGCATGGCTGTGCTTCCTCTGGGGAGGATGCTGGAAGGACTGCCTCAACCTCCCCAGTGCGTTGTGACTTCACCTGACTCCTTCCCAACCGCTCACCAGCTGTGGGGACTGGGCAAGCCGTTTGCCCTGTGTTTGACTCAGTTTCCCTATGCATAAACAGGGACAGCAGTGGCCCGTCTCCTTAGGTTCTGGACCCTGGCCTGGGTCCTGGTAGGAGCTGTCCCTAGGCCCTGATTGGCCTGTGGCTGCCTATCCTACATCTGTATTCTGTTTTCTGGCTTCCACAAGGTTTCTCCAAATGGTAGCTGGGGTCTGTGTGGGACACACACTGGAAGGAAGTGTGCTGCTGTCATGTGTCCTGGGTACAGCTGGATTTCAACCCAGAGAGGCCCAGGGATCAGCTGTGACATTGAGCTGGATCCCTCTCGGGATGGGCCGGGCCAGGCAGGCCCAGTGGGAGGTGTCTGGGCAGAGCCCTCGCTGCTCCCATCTCTAGGGTCCCGGCTGTGTCCACTGTGCTCGTGTTTGCAGCTGTTACGGGACCTTGCCCAACTTCCACTAATGTGAGCACTTGTTTTGTTTTCCATGCCACAAGGATGAAGTAAGTTTCTGTTCTGCACTAACTTCCGGAATGCTGCCCCCGTGGTGTGTCCTCCTGGTAGCAGGTCGGCCAGGCGGCTTTGCTCTCCAGGTTCCTAAGAGCCTGCCTGGGAGGGCTCTGAGTCAGAGGGCGCTGGGTGGATCCAGCTGAGTTCTTGGCCAGCTGACTTCAGTCGAGACAGTAGCAGTAGACCAAAATGGGGCCTGGATTTGGAGGCCAACCTTCCACGCTGCATGGGCAAATGGTTTTCTGGCCACAGTGTCCTCAGGGGACAAATTGGCAGAATAGATTCAAAGTTTCTGAAATGGTTTCTAACCTTGAAGTTGTGAGACCAGTGAGAGCAAAGCTGTGCTCTCTCCCTCCCCCAGCCCCCGTACCCTCCCAGCTATAGAACTGTTTGATAAGGGTGGATGGGGGGAGGGGAGGAGTCACAGACACACCCCCTGACACACACAGCTGCGCAAGCAGATGTTTCTGCAAAGCTGAGGCCCATCCCCCTCCTGCCCAGAGTTTTACACATTCACTGCCAGGGACCCTGTGAGCCATAAAGAGGGGCAGCCCCTGCTCGCAGCTCTGATGGAAGGTGCAGCTCCAGAGTGCTCATGGCCCCATGGACTCCTGCACAGCCACTCGGGCTGATGTGCAGGGCTGGAGGGCAGAGGCCCTGTGGGAAGAAGGGCTCTGCTCTCAGGTTGGGATGCCGGCCCTTGGGCGTGCACAGGCCAGGGTTGGACAGTTCTAAGGTGCTGAGCCCCACTGAGAGCCAAGCGAGGACAGAGGCTGTGAGGCTAAGCATCACGCGTGGTCCAGGGCAGGGGCCTGGCTCTCTGGGCAGGTGTTTGGGCAGCTGTGGTTTCCTGTAAGCACCCCTACAGATGGGATTTCTCTCTCGGCACCTGCCGTGCAGGAGTGGTCAGCAGATCTCAACCGCACCCTCAGCCGGAGGGAGAGGAAGAAGGCCTCGGATGGCGTCACCCTGACAGGCATCAACCAGACGGGTGACCAGGCTGCCCAGAACAAAGCTGGCAGGTAAGTGCTGGGCACAGCCCTTTGGGAGAAGTTTCCTGGAAGACAGAGAGACACACACACACACAAAACCTTGCAGGAGAAGTTTCCTGGAACACAGACACACATACACATAGACACGCACCCACAACCTTGTGAGAGAAGTCTCCTGAGGGACAGATGGGGCGGACCGGCACACACACTGTAGACAGTTCTGTGGGAGAAGTCTCCAAGGACACACACACACCATGGACAGCCCTGTGGAAGGAGTCTCCTGGGGAACACACACCATGGACAAGCCGTGGGAGGAGTCTCCTAGGACACACACACACACACACACACACACACACACACACACACACACATACACCCCGCATGGACAGACTGTGGAGGAGTCTCCTGGGGGACACACACACCCTGGACTCCTAGTCTCAGGGCAGTGGCCTAGGGGATGACCATTGGCTGGAAGGTCAAAGAGTGGTCCTTCAATGAGGGTCCCTGAAGCCTGGGGGAGGGGCCACTGGGCCAGGGCTAGTCAGATCCCCAGGGTCACCCCATGAGGCTGGCAGGAGGCAGTGCAGATGCTGCCAAGGGTGGTATGTGCTTGCTCCCTGAACAGGTGCCAGATGAAGGGTGGGTCCTTGGCATGCATGTCTTCACAGAGGGTCCTACTGGTTTCTGATGTGGTCATTTTGGAAACCAGGCGTGGACGGAAGGGGCAGCCTCAAGACTGTCAGAGATTCCCAGGAGGTGTGTTCCAGAAATGCCTTCCTGCAGGACTGTCATTAGACCTCCATGCCACAGTGACTACGGTCACCTAGATCACCTCTAACCTGGGCTTCCTCCAGAGGCTCAGCCCCAAGCACTGAAGCCTCCCCAGCCGGGGGTCTCAGGCTAGCCAGGACTGCTGCACAGGGTCAGCAGCCAAGCACAAGACCCTCGCTGGGAAGTCCACATCCACAGAGGGAGGAGGCCTGCTGGTCTCCACACCCAGCCTGCGCGTCGGCAGCCTGCCAGTTTGGTTTTATGCGCTTCACAGGCAAAAGGCCCAAGACAGCTGCAGGCCTCTCTGAATGCTGTGGTGGGCCGCTATTTCCTTGCCAGCTCCCTTCCCTTGGGCGGCAGGTGGTGCTGGCCAGAGAGCCATGTGCATGAGCCCAGAGCTCCGGGGGCCCTGGCTTCTGTCTTCACTGCCTTGGTGTGGTCTCCCTTCCAACGCTTTGCACGCTGCCTTCCTCCATTGCAGCCCTGCCCAGCCTCTCCTGGCCCGGAGCCAGGGGATGTGGCGGGAGGTCCTCACACTGGAAGGGGCTTCCTACATTGCCGAAGCCCTGTGGTATCAAAAGCAGGGCTCTGTGCTGGGGGCCTGGTGAGCCTGGGAGCTCCCTATTTATATCAGGGCACAGCCTCCTCCTGGGGAGTCCCCCATAAGCTCTGCCATGCCATCTCACAGCAGCAGGAATGAAGGCTGGGGGACAGTGGAGCAGCCCAGCTTGTAGCACTGACTACAGTGGTGGCCCAGCTAGGGCCCCTTACTAGCTTGCCCGCAGCCAGTCACAGGAAGAAACTGGAAGCACAATTAGCAAAGCATTGCCTCATGTTCCTGTCCCGACACCATCATCCTGCAGGCAATCAAGGAGCCAGGTGGTCCCTTGAGTGCTGGCCCCGGGATCCTGCAGCTGAGTTCCAACCGCCGTAGGCCCCAGTGAGCCGGGTCCCCTGAAAGCTCTCTCTCTCCCCATAGCAACCTTAGTGTCCCGAGCAACCCTGCCCAGTCACAGTCCAGCTACAACCCCTTCGAGGACGAGGACGACACGGGCAGCACCGTCAGTGAGAAGGAGGACATTAAGGCCAAAAAGTTGGTGACCACGTGCTTCCCTCTGGGGCTGCCTCATTGTTCTGTCTGTCCTCTCTCTGGCGGGTGTCTCGGGGTCAGCGAGCACTGCATGACTGCCGCACAGCACACCTGGCCTGCTGCCTGCAGTGGACGGTCTCTCTCTCTGGCTTCTTGAGTTCTTGGGGAGGGTACAGCTAACACTTGCCGTGCTTGTCTTCTGTCTCATGGTAACTCCTCAAGGCCCAGTTGTCCTACCACAGGAAGGCAAATGCATGTGAGCTGTCTGCTCCCATGCTCTCCTCTGCCGGGCACTGCCGCAGTGCGTCCACAGCCCGCCTTCCCTAGGGACGCAGGATGAATGTGGATGGCCTACATTCTCGCCAGAGCCTGGCTCCATATGCTGTCATGCCAAGGGGAGCTGTGCCCTCTTAGGAGCCTGAGCCCCAAGCCCAAGGCTCCTGCACTGTTCCCTCTCTGGGTGGGGTCATGGACCGAGCCTCGTGCCCTGTGCCAGCCCAGGCTGAGAACCTGGCATCCCCACCTTCCCTACAGTGTGAGCAGCTACGACAAGGCCCAGAGCTACCCCACGGACTGGTCAGACGATGAGTCCAACAACCCCTTCTCCTCCACCGATGCCAATGGGGACTCCAATCCGTTTGACGAGGACACCAGCTCGGGGACGGAAGTGCGAGTCCGGGCCCTGTATGACTACGAGGGGCAGGAGCATGACGAGCTGAGCTTCAAGGCCGGTAGGTGGCTCAGCCAGTGCCTGGGGGCTTCCCACTCGCAAGGCCAAGGCTGGGCTCAGCATAGGACACTTCTGCCAGGACACTCAGGAAACAGCAATGCTGCAGGTCCCCAAGCAAAGCCTTCTCCAGGCCTCAGCTGCCAAATCAGCCCTTGGCATTGCCACAGCCTTGCCCTGACCCCAAAGTGGCCATGTGCCCTCCCAGGCAGGACACTGTCACATCACCTCCCCACACCCCTGTGTCCTAGGAGCTTCCCCCTGGCTCTATTGAGCAACCTGAACCCTGGCTGCCTGTGGCGATGTCAGGTGTGTGTGTGTGTGTGTGTGAGGGAGAGCAAGTGATATGCTGGCTGCAGCCCTGTTTGAGGAGCCCTGTGCAAGGGCCTAAGGAGCTGGAATAGCCTAGGCTAAGTAGCCCACAGGATCCCAGGTTCCTTTTTCTGCCATGCCCCTTCCTTGATGCCCCCCCTTTGCAACAATCATCTGTCCCTCTAAGAAGAATGAAGCCAAGCCAGATTCAACTGATCCTGGCCGCAGCGTACTCCATTATCTGAGGGCGGGGTGCTATGCCCAGAGGCCCAGCTCCTGACCCAGCTGTTGCCTGCCTTGGTTGTCAGCTGCCTCAGGCCCTTGTGGGAGCGTTTCCTGTGGGCCTTTAAAGTCTGCTGCGGTTGTCACCCCCTACTTCATTGATTTTCACTTATTACTCTTTTTCCATCTTGCCTGTTGGGTTTGACAGAAATTTTGTCAGTTTAAGATGTTTCCTCATGTCCCAAGTACATTGGCAAAAGGAAGTGAAATAAGTGGGTCTATTTATCAGTTCACATTTTGTGACCTGGAAGCATTCCTGTCCATCATGGCTGTTTTACATCTGCTTTTCTGTAATGTAAAATCCATGTAAAAGGCACCCGTGTGGCTGCCTTCTGCAGGTAGCAGAGCTCTGACATGTCTTGATCTCGGGCCCACGGGCTCCTCCCAGCATGCTAATGTCACAGCAAGTGCCTCCTCGCAGTCTCCTTGCAGACTGGGGCATCCCTGAGGCAGACGTGTGAGCTCCGGGTACACAGAGGCCGGCGGGATCGGAGATACAGGGACACTGGCAGCCCGGGCCTGCTCCTGGCATTGCTGAGTCACACCTACAGGGGGTCCCCTGCACACGGAGTGCAGCCTCTGCAGGCTGGGTGCTCGCTGCAGGCAGGCCCCGTCCCAGACACCAGCAAGCTGTCTGTAGAGGAGGAAGGCAGGTCCTGCATCACCCAGCCAGTGAGCCGAGAGCCGAGCCTTGACCCAGGCGTGCTGGAAGCCCAGGCTGAGTTCCACAGGTGTCTTCCTGGTTTGCTGCCACACACAGAATAAAAATCAGGAGGGAGGTGTTGCCAGGAGGATGAAACTGCCCAGGGAAATGGCACTTGATTGCACCAGACCAAATGCCAAGGACACGCAGAGCTGCAGGGTTACCCCAGGGCAGCCAGCTTCCCAGAACGGCTGTCAGAGGAGGCTACTTCTCAACATGCTGTCCTCACCACCTTGTTCCCTGTCCCCTGGCATGTCTCCAGGAGGGACCAGGCTCTCTCAATCTCCTCCTTCCCCCAGAGCCAGACCCGCAGTAGACTAACCTTCAGGCTGAAGCAAAGCAGATACAGCACAAAGCCCAGCAATGTCTGGAGCCGCAGTAAGCGCCATCTCAGGCTGTGACAGTGCTGTCCTGCCTGTCCCCGAGCCAGTTCTGGGGGTCGGATGAGGTCCTTTCCCTCACTCAGCTCCTCAAGCTGCAAGAAGTTGCCTGCAGGAAAGGTGGGGTAGCAGTGTGGGCCAGGGTCGAAAGGGGGCACAGACTACAGGGTGCCTCTGTCATCCCCTAGGGGTCTTGGTGACAACCGAGAGCCACTTGGCTGTGGGGTCACTCTGAGGTGCTGCTCTGGCAGAGGCCGTTGTAGGTCTGCAGGTAATTCCAGGCTACCCTGACTCACACACTGTTCCCACTTTGTCTTGCAGGGGACGAGCTAACCAAGCTAGAGGACGAGGATGAGCAGGGCTGGTGCAAGGGGCGCCTGGACAGCGGACAGGTTGGCCTGTATCCAGCCAACTACGTTGAGGCAATCCAGTGATGGGCCATGGGTGGGCTGGCGGAGGGACGGAAGCCACCTTCCTGGGAGCTCCGCTGGCCTCCGGCCCGGGCCACGGCACCTCAGGCACCCCCAGCTGGCCGTGTGGGCATCTGCAAGGATGGTGGGTCCGCTGCTCTTGGCTTCCCAGCGTCCTTGAAGGCAGATGCACTGGTCACCTGGGCCTGGTGCCCATCCAGGTGCAGCTGCAGAGATGCGTGCACAGGAGGCTGCAATGCCACAGAGGAAGATCCCCCTTTGCCCCCTCCCAGCTTATCATGGATCTGTGTGTCCCCCACTTTCCCAACCGCGCCTGCCATGGCTCCCGTCACCTGCGACTTCAGCGAACAAACTTCCACGCCATTTTCTGAGTGAAGATCTTGAGGTTTGAATTTAAAGGCTATGTACAGTTGTAGTTTTTGACATACCTGCTCTTCCAGGCGTTGACACATAAGTGATGGTGCGGATTGGCCTGCCCTGGGGTCGCTCCTGCGGCCAGTGGATGTTTGAGGCACAAGACGGGTCAAGAGGCAGAGCTTGTCCCGGCAGCTCTCTTCTGGGACTCTGCTGGCGCGGTTGGGACGCTGGGGTACGGGTTTCAGGAATGGCCTTAAGTAGAACTCCCCCACGTCACCATATTTAAAAATTATTTTCACTGTAGTCCCGCTTAAAATTATTCTTTTGCTAATTAACAATTTTACTGGTGATTTAGGAGGTTAAGAGCAGGACTAAGCCTGTCTGGCCAGCACCTCTGTAGATGGAGGTGCATTGTTCTGGGAGACTTTCACGTCTTGCTGTACATCTGTATATATTATTTGATACTCAGAGAATCTAAAGAGTTCACCTACTGTTTTAGCAAGATGGAACAGCGTTGAACAGCATGTTTCATTTGAGTCCCGTGGCACCAGGTGCAGACCTGGCTGTTGGGTTCGGAGTCCCCAGCTGTGGTGCAGGCCCTCCCACTGGCCCTGCCAAAGCAGAGGTTGGGGCTGTCAGGGACGGATTGTCCCGCCTGAGCCACAGGGCCCATGGCTGAGTGTCTCAGTCCTTGGGCCTGCAGAGTCCACTGCTCAGAGTCCTGTGAGCAGCGGGCAGCCAGGAATCACCCACAGCATGGGCCTCTGAGCAACCGGGCTGCACTGTGTCCCGTGGCAGGGGGAGGGGGAAGGGAGAGCCTTTATTTTGTTAACTCAGACAGTGGGCCATCCCCACCACCACAAGCTATGCATTTCCTCAGTGTTTCCGGCCAGCGAGGCTCGGAAGCTGTGTTGTGTCTTTGTGAAAATTACCAGCAGAAGCCCTTGTCCGTGCTGCAGGTTCCCAGGACTCTCCGCGCTCGTCGGTTTAGGAGCTCCTGGGTGTGTATAGTGCTTCAGGACAAAAATCAATAAACACTTGATCTTGTGCGTGTCAATATCCTTCTAGCAAGCACCTGTCCTGGGCCCCTATGGGCTGCTGGGTGTGTCTGGGGCTTAGCAACCCTGGGGCAGAGGAAAGGTACGAGGTGCCTGGCCTCCATGGGAGCCCTTTGTCCCTGTTCCTGGGTCCTGCAGCTGCGTACCTCAGGCTGCCTCCACGCCCCACACAACACAAGCCAGCACCCGTCACCCCAGCTGCTCTTCCGTGTACCCCTCCTGAGTGCCCAACCTGTGCTTCCCATTCGGGTTGTCTGCAGCCGAGTGACACATCTCCTACCTTCACTTCACAGGGAGGTGCCTGCCCCACTGGGCTGAGCTGGGGACAAAGGAGGCCTGGCTTGGCAACCAGGGCCGGTTTGGAAATGGGAGAAACAAAGTGAGGATTGGGGCTGGCACTGTGGTCCAGGGAATTCAGCCACCGTTTAGGACAGCAGAATGCTGCTCTGAGTTCTGACTGCTCTGCTTCCAGGGCAACTTGCTGCTGCACCTGCTGCTCAGGCCCCTGACACCCACATGAGAGAGCTGGGTGCAATTCCTGGTGCTTGGCTTTGACCTTGGCTGTTGTGGGCGTTTGGAGAATGAGCCAGTGGATGCAAGATTCTCTGTCCCTCCGGTGCCCTGCCTTTCAAATAAATTTCAAAAGGAAAAAAAAGTGTGGAAAACTGAAAATGGGCAGGAGCTGGGAAGTTCACCCAGAACAAACTGCTCTGCAGGGCCCCTTCTCCAAGCCATGGGAGTCCCCAGGCTCCTCGTGTCCCTCAGTTCTGGGCAAGCTTGGGCCTGTTTTCCTGTAGGGAAGGTGCATACCTTCCTTACTGGAGGGTTAGGGTTGCAGGTGCTCAGGAGGCACTTGATGTGGGAGGATGAGGGACCCAATGGCTGGGTGCAGCTGGGACCCTCTTGTGCATTGTACAGGACCACCAAGTCCTTTGGCCCCTCTTCCCAGTCTAAGCCCTGGGTAACCCTGTCAGCCATCCACACCTGCTCCAACCCGCCACCCACTGTGACCTGGGCTCTTGCCCTGCTGTAACCCAAGCTAAAATACTGGAGGTCCATGCAAATGGACAGTAGGCCTACCTGTGCTCTGCTGAGGAGCCTGAGCATCCAACATACAAGGCCAACCTCCCTCTACCTAGCCTGGCCATGGGCGGACAAGTCTTCAAGGCCAGACTATACCAAGCCCTTGAGCCCTGGGGTGTTGGGGAAGGAATAGTGGAGGTCTAGGAAATCTTGTGGACCCCTGATGGGTTCCCTCCTAGCTCCTGGAGAAACCTGAGTCCAAGCGAAGGGAAGACACCGCTTGCTGTTGGATCCAGAGCAAGTGCTTGGGGGGACTGGTGGCACCCTGACACTCCATGTCTGATCACTGGGCATTCATTCGCATACCAGGTATTTATTAAACACCTACAGTGTGCCAGGGCCAGGCAGGAAGAGCCAGATGGGATGGGCAGAAGTGCCTGCCCAGAGTGTACACGTGCATTGGACCGTAGAGGTCCCTGCCCAAGCCCAGACCCCATGGAGGCCTTCCTCCAGTTCAGTGAGAACTGTTCTCACCTGGGAGAAGGGCTGCAGACACACAGGGAGGATCTCAACACACAGAGCCCTCAAAGTCCCCTTTCCTGCCAAGTGAGGACAAATCAGGGTGTCCAGAAGCCAAGATGGGCTCCCTGCCCTGTGGACACCCTGCACCCGATCCGTCCTCTCCCAACCCAACCATCTGAGCCCTCGTGGAGTGGGAGCCATCCCCACTTTTTCTCCCTACCTTGGCCCACCCTACCCTAACTTCTGTGGGGTGGAGCGGTCTGCACCCTCCCCAACCACTTCCCCAGGCCCCTGCACAAGAGGTACCCTTTGCCGGACCTCGGTTTTCCCACGGGCTAGACTTTGGTGGTCCCTGCAGTGGCAGCATCAGGAGTGCCCTGGAATCCGACAACTCGAGGTGCCTCCAGTAGAAAGAACCACAGCCAAGCTGCCCAGATGATACAGCTGGGGGAGGGAAGGCTGGCAAAAGACCACACGGCCTGACCGAGGACGGGGTCTTAAAGGACCCTGACCCAAGGGTGTTTGGATCGCTAAGGCAAAACTGTCTGCCGGTCCATTGGACTCTTCCAGACACACCTCCGGGATGCTCCTGTGGCCCCTGTGAGGTTTTCTTGTGACAAACTTAATGGATTTTTTTAATCATTAAAGGAACAGAGCCACAGATGAAAACTTGGAAATTCAGTGGGAGTACTCAAACAAACATGAATCATCAACGTGCCTGCCAGCAGCGGTTGTGGGTGGGCTCCTCTCTGGTCTGTTCTGTAGGTGCGCGCAGAAGCAGGTCTGCCGGCTGCTGACGTCGCGGTGGGCGTGTCTTCTAGAACGGTAAGGCTGGTTTGGGGTCCTGCTGCACTATGCACACACCGGGGCGTTCTGTTCCTGACACTTGAGCCTCAAAAACATGCTTGATGGTTGCACAGCATTCCATGATGCTCAATGCCGGCTGCTCCCCGTACACACTGCCACACGCACCACTTTTATATTTAGTTCTTCAATATTTTAGGCAGAGAAAGAGGGCACATTTATCAGCGAGTTCACCCCCAAAATGTCAGCAGTATCTGGAGCTGGGCTACACAAAGCTGCGAGCCAGGAACTCCGACCCGGTATGTGGCAGGTGCTCAGCCACTTGAACCATCTCCACTGCCTCCAGGATGCACCCTGGCAGGACTGGAGCTGGGATGAGAAGCCAAGGTACCCTCATATCAAATGTGGGCATCCCAAGCAGCATGTTAGCCTTGACACCAGGGGCACCCACCCCTCGTTCTTTAAGTTTTATGAATGCACCCAGTCATGCGACCACAGTGAAGATACAGAACGGGGGTGGGGGTGGCAGTATGTAGCACAGCAAGTTCAGCCACTGCCTCTGACACCGATATCCCATAGAGTGATGGCTTGAGTATCAGCTGCTCCACTATTTTTTTTTAAAGATTTTATTTTTTCTTAGAAAGTCAGATATACTGAGAGGAGGAGAGACAGAGAGGAAGATCTTCTGCCCATTGAGTCACTCCCCAAGCAGCCACAACAGTCGGAGCTGCACCAATCTGAAGCCAGAAGGTGGGAGCCTTCTCTGGGTCTCCCACACGGGTGCAGGGTCCCAGGGCTTCGGGCTGTCCTCGACTGCTTTCCCAGGCCACAGGCAGGGAGCTGGATGGGAAGTGGAGCCTCCGGGATTAGAACCAGCGCCTATATGGGATCTTGACGCATGCAAGACAAGGACTTTAGCCACTAGGCTACTGTGTTGGGCCCTAGCTGCTCCACTTCTAATCCAGCTCCCTGGTGATGTACCTGAGAAAGCAGTGGAAGTTGGCCCACGTGCTCAGACCTCTGCCACCCAGGTAAGACATCCGGAGGAACTTCCTACAGGCTCAAGCCTGACTCAGCCCTGGCCATTGTGGCCATATGTGTGTTCTCCCATCCCCCTCCAAGTTGGCCCGATCGTTTGTGGGCAAGCCCTGCTAACACAGTCCCTTTTGCTCTCCAGAAAGTTCTGTGAGTGGAATGCTGTAATGCATAGCCTCCAGCTGGCTTCTTCCATTCCTTATAATTCAAGATCCAGCGTTTGTTTTCACGCACCAGCGTTTTGTTCCTTGTTTGGGCTAGTTTCCCTGCCGAGCGTGTCGGGATCGGAGGACGCCTGGGCCGTCTCCTGCCTTTGATGATCACAGAGGAGTCTCGCCAAGCACAAGGTTTTGTGCAAGCAGCTCGAGGTCCCTGTTGTTTTTGCTGCTTTGTGGGTATTTCCCACGAAGACAGTCCCAGCCATTTCTCCCATTAACGAAGGCAACAGTAAGTCCAAAGTCTGTTTTCTCTAAAAATCAAGATGCCTTTGAGGATGTTTCCTTTCCAGTTGGAGCGTTTATTCCCCTCCAGGGAGGCCAGCCTGGGCGTGCAGGGATGGAGCTGCTTGTGAGGCAGCGAGCTCATTTGCAAAGGTCTCTGGCCAGTCCCGACACTCGCTAAAGACCCCGCATCCCAGGCAGGAACACAGCCTCTGCCCCCTCGAACTGGGCTGGTCTGTTTGCTTTTAGGGTGGCATCTGACTGGCAGCGAGTTCCTGCTGAATTATAAGTGAACTAAACAAACACACACATGCTGGCTGCCTTGGCCAGAGCCAATCAGGACGTCTTATCTTTATGTCTTTATGAAAGATAAATAACTGATACAAGCTGATGTGTCCTGCCCGATAGCTGAACCATTCCTTTTTTTTTTTTTTATGAAAGGCAACGAGACCTGGAGAGATGGAGAGAGAAGAGATCTTTCTCTCATCCATTGGTTCATTCCACAAATGGCCTCAACAGCCAGGGCTGGGCCGGACCGAACCCAGGAGCCTGGAATTCCATCCCACTGCCTTCTGTTGCCTTCATGGGCACCTGAGGAAACTGGTGCCCATACATAATGCCCATATATGATGCCAGTGCTGCCACTGAGGACTGACCCACTTTGCTTTATCGTGAACCCAGCGTCTTAGCTGCTGCTTTCTGGCCTGAGTATGTAGGAGGATGAGTCAAAAGAGGCCGAGAAGAGCAAGAACAACCCCAAATGAGAGCCAAGAGTTTGAAGGAAAACAGGCCAGGACGCAGTGTAGACCTTACCAAAGGGGACTCAAAGGAGAGTTCTGAAGTAAGGGCTCCATGGGGCTGGTGTGGCACTGCGGGTGAAGCCGCATCTCGTTCAGCAGTGCCACTCTGCCAGTGGCTGGCTTAAGCCCTTGGGCCCCTTGCACCCATGGGGGAGACCTGGAAGAAGTGCCTGGCTCCCGGTCTCCCGCCAGCTTGGTTCCAGCCATTGTGGACGTACATTGTGGCAGTACACCAGCACATAGAAGAGGTTCTCTCTCCTGTCTCTCCTCTCTGTAACTGCCACCACTTGCAGTGCCTGGCGGACTCCCCAGGACAGCCTTAAAGGGACACTTCGCCTCTTCTCAGAGCATCAGCCTTTGTAATTCAGTTACTGTCCAGCTTATCTTTTTCAGTGTTTATCTTCAGGGTCCAGCACGGTAGCCAAACAGCACGCTCCTGGATCCCAGTTCTGGTCCCGCTTCCCATTCAGCTCCCTGCTGCCTGGGAAGGCAGTCAAGGACAGCCCAGGGCCTTAAGACCCTTTGCCCCTGTGGGAGACCCAGAGGGCACTCCAGGCTTCTGGCTTCAGATAGGCGCAGCTCCAGCTGTTGCGGCTGCTTGGGGGCGGGAGGGGGTCATCAGACGAAGAGTCTTCCTCTCTGTCTCGCCTTCTCTGTGTATATCTGCCTTTCCAATAAAGGTAAATAAATCTTTTTAAAAAGTATATCGTCATCCACTTGAAAGAGTGACAGAGACAGAAACCCCTTGTCCGTTCTTCCCTCCTCAGATGCCTGTGACAGCGCTGCGACAGGCTAGAGGCCGAGGTGTGGAATCCAGTCACTGTCCACCGGCCGTGTAAAGGGGACCCACCACCCAAGGTGTAGCTGAGCTTGAACTCAAGTGCTTGGATAAGGGGTGCTGATATCTCAGGTTGCAGTGCACCCACTGAGCCAAACAGCTGCCCTGCTTTAAGCCCTTTGAACAAAATCCACTTACCATGGAGTTTTAAGAATTCTTTACTTACTCTGAAAAGTCCGTTACTAGATTGCCTTTGTGAATTCTCCCCTAGTCTCTGTGTATTTTTTTATTTTTCTGAAGCAGGGCATTTTGGAGAACAGATCCTGGCTTTTGCTTTAAGAGGAAGGGAGAGGCTCCCATCTCCCCCCCCCCGCCCAGTGCCAGGAAGCAGCTGGGGGCTGGGGATCGGGGAACACCCGAGTTCCCTGGAGCAGGAGGGACCCTACACCCTGAGGGTGAGCATCAGTAACAGGCAGGGCGCGGCCGAGTCCCAAACCCGGGTTCTAGAAAATGCTGGCCTCCCAACCGGCCTCTGAGGTGGATGTCCACCCACCAGAATAAAACTTTATGCTAAGAAAATTCCTTTTTATGTATTGGAAAGATAGACTCACAGAGGCGCTGTGGGCGCAGCAGGAGAGGACGATCCTCCATCTGCTGACTCACTGCCCAGATGGCTGCAAAGGCCAGGGCGGGACCAGACCGGAGCTACATTCATCCAGGTCTCCCACCCCCAAGGGTGCAGGGTCCCAACACTTAGCCCATCCTCCCCACCCTCCCTAGCCAGAAGAGAGTTGGATCAAAGCAGAGCAGCCGGGACCTGAACCAATGCCCATGGGGGATGCCAGCATTGCAAATGGCAGTTTAACTTGCTACGTCACAGCACTGCCCTGAATTAAACTCTTAAATAAGACACCAAGCAGGTATTTCCGGCGCAGTAGCCTAACAGCAAAAGTCCTCACTTTGCACACACTGGGATCCCATATGAGTGCCAATTCTAATCCCGGTGACCCCGCTTCCCATCCAGCTCCTTGCTTGCAGCCTAGGAAAGCAGTCAAGGATGGCCCAAAGCCTTTGGTGCCTGCACATGTGAGAGACCCAGAAGAGGCTCCTGGCTTCGGATTGGCCCAGCTTCAGCCGTTGCTGTCACTTGGGGAATGAATCATTGAGCAGAAGATCTTTCTCTCTGTCTCTCCTCCTCTCTGTATGTCTAACTTCCTAATAAAAATTTAAAATAATAATAATAACAATAAGGCACCAGGCAGGCATGTGGCAGCAGCTGAGCCTAGGATATCTGCGTCCTGTTATCAGAGTGCCTGGGTCTGGGTCCAGCTTCCTGTTCGAGGTACATTCTGGCAGGCAGGTGGGAATACTTGAGGGAAGTGGGTTGAATTGGGGCTGGCCTACCCCCAGCTTAGGCATTTGGGGAGAGAGCCAGCTGATGGAAGATCTTTCTCACAGTCTCTTCCCAAAAAATTAACTTAAAAAATAAGATATTTCTCTCATGGGAGCCAGCACAGTGGAGGGAGGCGTGTGCCGGCCTGGCAGCCAGTGGTCAGGGCAGCAGCTCTGCGCCTCCTCAGAAGAAATCATGTCTGTGATATGATCATGGCGGGCGGGGGAGCTGGGCGTGGAGCGGAGGGCATTTTGGGAGTACCTTGGTGAGAGAGCAGTGTAAACCCTAATCCGTACAGACTCATGTTTTGCTTTGTCATGGGCTTACTGCAAAGCTGCTTTGCTCCTGCTTCTATTTTTAGTACTTTGGTTTCTGGTTTTCATTTGTTGAAGCCTCTTTGGCTTTTATATTCATGTAGTTTTCTTTCTCATTTCCTGGTCTCTCCACCCCTCACCCTGCACCACCCTGTTCTTACTTGTTAAAGCCCTGACCTGGACGTTGGGAATGAATGGTGCGCAGCAGGGAGCTGTTACTGTTGATAGCTTCTGACATGAAATCGGTCATGGCAACACTAGGCGGCATACATCAAACACTAAAACATTGTCTGAGTCTCCTGCACCTCAAATGGATAAATGAATGAATGAATGGATAAGTGAATGAATGAATGAATGAATGAGCAAGCATTCGATGCATGAGGGGCAGACAGGATATGATCTGTGGCAATGCTGGGCAGTGCTAAGTTCCTGACAAAAACCAATGCCTTATGAGCCAGACTAAGGGCAGGCGGGTTGGGCCTTGCCACGACATCACCTGGCAAGTGCTAGGACTGGGGGCAAGTCCTGACCAGCTAGACCGCAAAACCACCCGGAGAGTGCAAGATCGGGGCAGGGGGTGGATCCAGTGGGTCCAGTGGAGGGGTTGTGGGCACCTCTCTGATGGGCTGCAACTCCCACTGGTGAGCATGAGAACCAGGAATGGGGGCAGGTCTGGCTGGACAGGCGGTGGCACCCGCTGGCATGAGTGTGGGCTAGAAGGTGGAGCTGGTTGAGTTAAGCTTCAATGCCCAATGATGTATATGAGATCCCAATGGGATATGGGGCCGATTGCACATGCTATACATGCCGGCAGGTACGCAAAGCAGAGCTGGGGGCCGGTCCAGTAGGGCTTATTGGGGGCTGCTGTGACTGGGCTGCAGCTCCCCCTGCGGGACGTGAGGGCCGAGTGTGTGTTGTGCAGGGCAGGGCTGGGCCACAGCACCCACTGGCTTGCTGAGGATGGAGGGCGGAACAAGCTGATCAACTACCCCAGTGAAAGCTGACAGCAAGTCTCTGGGCCAAAGGAGACTCAGGCGGGCTATCACAGCCCGTCGACCTCGGAAAGATCCCCGCATCCGTGGAGCGCCGATATCAGCTGCATCTCAGAAACACGGAAAACACATGAGCAGAACCCTCGGAAAAGGCTCCACAGCGGGGACCCAGGGATGACGTCAGGTGGCAGTTCCCCAAGCCCCGGGGAATGCACGCTTGGGAAGCTGGGCGCGGTTTTTCCTCTTGTATTCTCCTCTCCCCCAATTACAGGAAGAAGAAGATGTGTAAACAAGGGTCTCACTACCCCGATCAACTATGTAAACATCATCACTAATAAAATTTTTAAAAAAAATGTCTTCAGGAGAGAACTTCCCTCCCAGGGCCTGGCCTCCGCGGAAGGCAACAATGAAAAACGGAAGGCGAATCGCGGGTATTCGAGGTGTTCAGTGGGGCGGTGGTTAGGGGTCAGCGGGTGGCTCTGCCCCTCAGGTCTCCTGGCAGTCCTGCCGCCCTCCCGGGAAGGGCGTGAGAAGCCCCGGCGCGCAGAAGCAGGAAGCAGCCCGTCAGCCGAAATGCACGGAAAGTCTGGGGGACCCGGCCGCATGAAGCAGGTGCTCCCGGGTGGAGACGGACTGCGCAGGCGCGCGGGCGCGGGGGCGTGCCCTGGGGGCGTGGCCAGGGCGGGGACGAAGGAGAGCGGGTGGGCGTGGCCAGGGCGAGGATGAAGCACGGGGGCGGGGGCTTCGGGGCGTGGTCAGGGCGGGGACGAAGGAGAGCGCGTGCGCGGCGCCTCGGGGAGGGGCCTGCCGTCACGCGCGGCCCCGCCCCCTCGGCCTCCCTCGGCCTCCCGGAGGCGGCAACCGCTGCTGCTCGGCGCTTCCCGGTTGGCGGCGCCGGCTGCACCTCACTCTCTGGAGACCATGGGGGACCCCAGCAAGCAGGACATCCTGACCATCTTCAAGCGCCTCCGCTCGGTGCCCACGAACAAGGTAGCGGCCGCCGGGCGCCCTGTCATCCCAGACGCCGGACCCCGCGGGGCGGCCCCTGCGGGCGCCTGTGGCCGCGGCCGCGGGAGGAGGAGCCGGCCGGCCTGTGACACGTCGCACTGTGGAGCCGACGCCTGGGCCTCGCCCGGGTCCCGGCCGCGTCGCGCCCAGCCTCCGCTGGCGGCGAGGGGGTCCCCGTCGGGGGGTCGGGCGGGAGCGCGGGACCCCGAGCCGGGCACCTGGCGCTGCTGGCCCGGAGCATCCCGGGGCTGGGGACGGAGGTGCGCCCTGGGACGGTGGGAGATGGAGGGCGCGGGCACGAGCACCCCGGGACTCAGCCCTGGGGTCCCACACGGGGGGGAGGCTGCTGCTAGTCCCGACAGGAGTGAGGCCAGGGGCTCCAGCTGGTAGCCCGGGGCGCACGGGAAGCCAGGTGGCACCCATCCCCATGGAGTGTCCACAGGGTGCGTGTCCCGTAAAGCTGCCCAGGGGTGGCACCAGCTGCCACCTCGTCACCCCTGGGGTTTTCCCCTGCCTCCAGCACTTTTACAACATTTCCCACTGTCTGGGGATGTTGGGGGTGACGCATGGGTCTAAAGTGTCAGACATCCGTCGGAGTGGAACGGGAGGGTGCAAAGGGCTGTCGCGTCACCATCTGTCCCGGCTGGTCCCCACTGGCGCCTCCGAGATGGGAGCTCTGGGTGGAGGGCAAGTCGGTGTTTCTGCCTGCTGGTCGGGGGTGGGGGACGGATGGTCACAGCTCCCCTGAAAGCAAGGAAAGGGGCAAGCTTCCCCGGGCTGTGAGGTCACTGGGAGGGGGATTGTCTTTCTGTGCAGTCTTGGATGACAGGGCAGTTACCGCAAGTAGGTTGCTGCAGCTGGCCATATGGAAAGTGCCCCTCCGTGGGCTTTATTCCAGATGCGCCGCAGCAGCGTGGCATTTGCTGGACTTTGTCAGGGAGCAGACCTGGGTATGTGTGTGGGGAGTCACCGTGAGGAACTTGTGTGGGTGCGGGGTGGGGGGCACCCTCACCCTCACAGGCTGGGCACTGGCAGGCAGCTGTGCCCAGTGAGTACTCCAGGCAGCTGTCTGTTCCATCACAGCACTAGTGAGTGATGGCTGCTCGCAGTGACCTGCTGGACTTCACCGCTGGGATCCCTTAGTGGCCAAGGGCTTGGAACAATCACCTAAACAAAGATGGAGACTATTTCTAAAACAGTTTAAAAAAAAAAAAAACTTAAAGGCACATAGGTATCGAGTCCCCCCTTGGCCGGCTTATTCCCCAGTATCCCTCATGACCAGGGCTGCGAGAGGCCAGAGCCGAAAGCAGGGAAGGCCTGGGGCCCAGCCACCCATATGGGGCTAGTCTGAGTCCCGGCTGCCCCCTTTCCAGTCCAGCTCCTGCCAATGCTTCTGGAGAAGACCGGGACATGGCCCGGGACCCTGGACCCATATGGGAGACCCAGCCGGAGCTTTAGGCTCCGGGCTTTAGACTGGCCCCCAGCCCCAGGATGATTCAATAGTTAGCAGTGTTACCTCTGTGTGTGTGTGTGTGTGTGTGTGTGTGTGTGTGTGTGTCTTTCTGTAACTCTGCCTTTCAAATAAATAAGTCTTTGCCGGCATCCCATATGGTTCATGTCCTGGCTGCTCCATTCTGATCCAGCTCCCTTCTAGTGGCTAGGGAAAAGCAGTGGAAGATGGCCCAAGAGTTTGGGCCCCTGTCACCCACATGGCAGACTCCTGGCTTTGGGCTGGCCCAGACCTGGTCACTGCAGCCATCTGGGAAGTGAACAAGCAATGGAAGATACATCTTTCTCCCCCACTCTCTGTCTGTAACTCTCCCTTCAAAGATAAACAAAGAAATCTTAAAGAGCAAAAAAGAAGCTAGAAACTCATTCCAGGGCTCCTTAAAACATGGCATGGACCTCACTGCCTGCCCAGGATGTGTGCTGGAAGGGAGCCAGAGCAGAGGCCGAAGACTCGAGCCATGGGTTCCAGTTCAGGAGGTGGGCAGTGTTAACCGTTACGCCACATGCCAGCCCCGAAGGCAAGGTTCAAGAACATAACAGAATCAGGTAGCAATAAACATTTTTTAACTGGGGTTTCAAAAACAGCTTTAATAAATAGGAAATAGGCAAGACAGGGAAGACCCCGTGATTTGCCTGTAGAGCACTGGGTCCAGTTCTTCCAAGGGTTTGCTGTCCAGCCTGTGCGACCCTCCCGGCCGTCGCTGAGCACACATCAGGCAGCTGCCGGGGGCCACGCCCTAGGTGAAGCAGCAGGGCTACACAGTGAGCCCTCAAAGCTCCGGGGGTCCGTGTCAGGACCCACACAACACCAGGCTCCTCGGACACCCCAGTCTTTCAGATCAGGTGAGGCCTGGGTGCATCCTCCTGTAGCGTTAGCATCCCTCCAGAGGACTCCCAGGATGCTCGGTGAGCACCAGCTGAATAGCCGTTATGCTGTACTGCATGTTTTCAAAAGATGGTTTTTCTTGGGGCCAGCATGGTGGCTCAATAGGCTAATCCTCCACCTTATAGCACTGGCATTTCACGTGGCCTCTGGTTCTGGTCCCAGCTGCCCCACTTTCTACCTAGCTCCCTGCTTGTAGCCCGAGAAAGCAGCTGAGGATGGCCCAAAACCTTGGAACTTTGCACCCATATGGGAGACCCAGAAGAGGTTCCTGGCTCCTGGCTCCTGGCTTCTAATTGGCTTAGCTCTGCTTGTTGTGGCCTTTTGGAGAGTAAAACAACAGCTGGAAGGTCTGTCTGTCTCTCTCCTTCTCTCTGTAAATCACTTTTCAAACAAAAATAAAATTTAAAAGAGAAAGAGAGAAAATGTGTATTGGGTAGAATTTTAAACTTGAAGGCATTTGTTTTTAGGGCTTTCTGGGTCTCACATGGGTGGCTGGAGCCTGTGTCAGTGGAGGCGCACCTGCTGCCTCCCGGGCCTGTTAGCCGGAAGTGGGACTGGGAGTGTGGAGCCACTGGGACTTGAACCGGGCACTCCAGTAGGGGAGGGGGTATAACTCATTGCTTAGAATGCCCTGTCCCGTGCCGCCTTGCATTTGTATTTGTGTTTAAACAGTTTCCATCTGGGTCATTCGAATCTGTGTGACGGACCTACAAGTGCAGCGCCTGCTGTGTGCACTGGTGGCCACGATACGGCGCCTGAGCTCGTAATCCAAGGCCCCAGGACGGGTGGACAGACAGACAAGGGACCGAGTGGCGTTTTTTGCTGTAGTGAAGAGCTGGCCCTGCCAGCAGGTGGCCCTCTTCCTGTTGGCTCCTTAGTTACAGACTGGCTTTGTGACTTTGAAAGCTCCGAGGAATTTCAAGATGAGGTATAGAGCATAAGGTCAACTGTGGCCATTCAGGGTACTGGCCCCATGTGGCTAAATAGACTACACATGTGCCTGTCCAGCCAGGCGCTGACCAGTTGGTAGGAGGTACCTTCTTAGAGGCCCATGAGAACATCAACAGTCAATGTTCAGAATTTCTAGAACAGTTACTGTTTTCGTAAGTTAAGCAGAACCAGTCACCAGTGAAAAGCTCTCGATTGGTCATCACCGTAGATGGGGTGCTGTGCTCACAAAACCGTATATTGCCTTTAGGATTCCCCATTAACCTGGGTGCCGCCCCTGCTGGCAGAGCCCTGTCTTCCAGCAAGAGCAGCCTTGAAGCGGCCCTGGGAGAGTGCAAACCTGAGTGGCTCAGGAGCCTCGCCCTGTCTGTGTGGTTATCTGCTGTGGTATCATGTTCCCACCGATTCAGATCTCCACCCACCAGGAGCAGGCGATCGCGTTGCAGGGGCCCTTGAGCTGGCCAGTCCTGGCCCCTGCTCTCCCGGGGCTATGTCAGCTGAGGGCTCCCTCACTGCCTCCTACAGCCAGCTCAGCCACCCCTGGTAGAGGGAGGATGGTGCTTACACAGGGCAAGGGTGGTGGGAGGCAGCCTGTTGTAGAGTGTGGCTGCCACGCCTGCCAGGAGCACCTGCCACCTGGGACATCCTTGCTGGCCGCCGGAGGACAAGGGCTGGAGCCTTCTGTGCTGTGCCGGGCAGAGTGTCGCAGAGACCAGAGCACGAGCGTGGGGCATGGCTTGTTAGAGCACACACCCTGATCATCGGTGGTGATGTGTGAATGACAATTACTTTGATGGGTAGGACAGGATTACAGGACAAGAGGTTGAGGTTGGGGGCTTACATGAGCCAATGAGCCCTCCCAGCAGCCAGGGCGAATCACCAAGGCCAAGCAGGCCCCAAGCCCAGTGTGGGCTGTGCCCACGGGGTGCCTCATGTGCCAGCAGGGACCCCCTGGTGACCAAGGCTTCTGTCTTCCTGCCAGGTGTGCTTTGACTGTGGTGCCAAGAACCCCAGCTGGGCCAGCATCACCTATGGCGTGTTCCTGTGTATTGACTGCTCGGGCTCACACCGCTCGCTGGGCGTCCACCTGAGCTTCATCCGGTGAGTGAGTGACTCCCACCCCGACCCTCGGGCACGGCCACCGCACAGGCCGAAGATGCCTTCGCCTCGTTGCTTTGTTCGCTTTGATGCAAACAAGAAAAACAGGTTGGGGCCCAGGTTAAGCTGCTGCCTGTGATGCTGTCAGCCCATCTGGCCACCTGTTTGAGTCCTGGCTGCTTCGCTTCTGATCCGCTCCCTGCTGCTGCACCTGGGAAAGTGGCCAAGGAAGAGCCAGGAGCCTGGGCCCCGCCATCCTGGCTTTGAAGGGCATCTCCTATCTGTAGGTCAAGGCTGGTTGTGTGGGCGCCTCCCGTGAGCAGAGGACTACTCCTCCCTCTGATGCTGGGGAGAGGTGGGTGGGGCCTGTGTGGAGCTTCCACTTGAGAGAACAAGCCCGGGGGGCTGGGGCAGCTGGGAAGTAAAGAAACTGGAATCATCAGAGAACAAATTGGCAGGTGCCCAGGCTGGCTGAGGGCCTGGCTGCCGAGCGAGGCCTGTGGTCAGCCCCTGGGCCCTGCCAGGTGCTTTCTGCAGGCCCCACCCCATGGCAACAGGGTTGCAGTGCCAGGGTGTGCGTGCACAGGGCGGATCCATCGCAGTCGCAAGGTGCTTGGTGTGTTAGCTCCACCCTGTGGCAGTAGACCCAACTTTCCAGATGCATGGAGTTCCCTTTGGAGCTCCTGTGTGGAGGCCGAGTCCATGAGTGCCCCTGGTCGCGGTTGAGGAGACGGAGTTATTGTGTGTGTTGCTCATTGCTTGAGGAGCATGCATCAGTCCTTTCCTTTTTCTTAGACTCTGGTTCTAGAATATTCTGTGTGTGTGTGTATCTCTCCATCTCTGTAGTAGTGACTTCTAAATAAATAAATAGAAAATATAGACTGCAGCATAATAAAGGTACCTGTTTAAAAATAAATAAATAAAATGTATCGGGAGCAGCGCTGTGGTGTAGTAAAGTAAGCCCCTACTGGTAGGCCACCATCCCATATGACTGCGGGTTCCTGTCCCAGCTGCTCCACTTCCCATCCAGCTCCCTGCTTGTGGCCTGGGAAAGCAGTCGAGGACGGAACAAAGCCTTGGGACCCTGCACCCACGTGGAGACCTGGAAGAGGTTCCTGGCTCCTGGCTTTGGATCAGCACAGCACCGGCCATTGCAGTCATTTGGGGAGTGAATCAACAGACGAGGATCTTGCTCTCTGTTTCTCCTCTTCTCTGTGTATCTGACTTTGCAATAAAAATAAATAAATCTTTAAAAAATCTTTATAGAAAGATTCATTTAGTTATTTGTAAGAACAACGCTGAGCAGACAGAACAAGGTCTTGTATTCTATGATTCACTCCTGAGATGGCTTAGCGGCCTGAGCTGGACCTGGCTGGAGCCAGGAGCTGGGTCTCCCCCCGAGCTCGTTGGCAGGAAGTTGGATCGGAAGAGAAGTTGCGAGCTCAAACCAGCGCTCTCAAGTGGGCTACGAACATTCCAGACTGTGGCTTGACCCTGCCGTGCCCTGGACTGCCCATTCTCCATTCTGAGGCATTAGGTGTGTTCATAGTGCATGACTCTCACCCGGTCTGCAGGACTCCTCATCCTGTGAGCAGCCTTTTGGGGCTGGCCACTTCCCCCGACAGCCCCTGCTCTACTTCTGAGTCCGTGACCACTGCCAGGACCTGACTCGGCGCTGCATTACGTTCGGCAGAGTGTCCTCAAGCGGCCTCCGTGTCGCTGCAGGTGTCGGTGGTCCGCGTGACGGCCAGCGGGAAGATTTCTCTCTCTCTCTTTTTAAGATTTATATATGTTTTTCATTAGAAAGAATCATAGAAAGGAGAAACAGAAAAATCTTCCATTTGCTAGTTCACTCACCAAGTGGCCATTAACAGCTGGCCAGAACTGGGCCCGGCGTAGTGGCGCAAATGGTTAAGGTCCTCACCCATATGGGCGCCAGTTCTATCCCGGCAGCCCCGCTTCCCTTCCAGCTCCCTGCTTGTGGCCTGGGAGAGCAGTGGAGGACGGCCCAAAGCTTTGGGACCCTGCACCCGCGTGGGAGACCCGGGAAGAGGCTCTTGGCTTTGGATCGGCATAGCATCGGCCCATTGCGCTCACTTGGTGAGTGAATCATTGGACGGAATATCTTCCTCTCTGTCTCTCCTCTCTGTATATCCACCTTTCCAATAAAAAATAATAAAAATAAATCTTTAAAAAAAAAAAACAGCTGGCCAGAACTGACCCAAATCAGGAGCCAGAAGCTTCTTCCGGGTCTCCAACATGGGTGCAGAGTCCCAAGGTGGGCTGTTCTCAACTGCTTTCCCAGACCACAGGCAGGGAGCTGGATGGGAAGTGGAACAGCCAGGATATGCCCAGATGGGATCCCAGTACATGTAAGGTGAAAACTTTAGCTGCTAGGCTACTGTGCTGGCCTCCAAATTTATTTGTTTTTATTTGAAAGGCAGAGTTACAGAGAAGGGGGGGAGAGAGAGGAAAAAAGGAGAAAAAGAAAAAAGAAGGAATAAGGAACGAAGGAAGGAAGGAACGAAGGGAGATTGATCTATTGTCCATTAGCTGGTTCACTGCACCAGCTGGCTGGAGATGTACTGGATTCTGAGTCCAGCTGGCAATGCCTCAGCAGGCCTGACCTGACAATTGCAGGACGCACCCCACGTCTGCCTTCTCAGATACAAGATCTGCAAATATTGTCTCTCCTTGTGCGAATTGCGTTTTTATTCGTTGATATTCTTCCCTAATGTTCGTGGAGACAATTTGTCTTTCGTTGCCATCCCAGGTCCTGCAGAGTCCGTGTCACAAAGCTCTGAGGTTGTTTTCTCTGAAGGTTATAGGTGCTGTCCATTTTGAACTAACGTTAGTTTCCTGTTCATGTCAGTTAATGTGTTTTTTTTTTTAAGACTTATTTATTTTTATTGCAAAGTCAGATATATAGAGAAGAGTAGAGACAGAGAGGAAGATCTTCCATCCAATGATTTACTCCCCAAGTGACCGCATCGGCTGGTGTTGTGCAGATCTGAAACCACGATCCAGGAACCTCTTCCGGGTCTCCCACGTGGGTGCAGGATCCCAAGGCTTCGGGCCGTCCTCAACTGCTTTCCCAGGCCACAAGCAGGGAGCTGGAAGGGAAGCGGAGCCGCCGGGATTGGAACTGGTGCCCATATGGGATCCTGGCATGTTCAAGGCGAGGACTTTAGCCGCTAAGCCACTGTGCTGGGCCCCTTGTCAGTTAATGTTAATGAGGTGAGAGCACACCATTAGGCTCCTGGGTGTAGGTAGTCTGTTTTCCCAGCATGCTTTGTTAGGAAGACTGTCCCTTCTCCAGTGAATTTGGGGTTTGTTCATGTACTTTTGTTTCCAGACTGGCAACTGTGTGTTAACATATGGTAACTCACCGTTTCCCAGGTGAGCAAGGTTGCGTGGCAGCTGTCCGCACTTGCCTTCCTGCTTGGCTAGGCCCTTTCCCTGCTGCCAAGTGCCTCCCTCACGGCCTGGCCCTCGCTCTGGCTGGCACCGCAGCATCCACCAGTGCAGGTGAGGCCAGGCCCTCCGGGTTCGAGGGTGGGATTGACCCCGAGCTAGGTGGCTGGGTGAGCAGCCTTTTAGAACACTACCTCTGCCTGGATGCCAGAGGTCACCGTGGCCAGAGGGGCCTTCCAGGGCCAGGCTGGGCCGAACTACGGCTGAGTGTCATTCGTGTTGTGTTATTTCAAAGCAGATTCTTTTTGAAGATTCTGTATTTATTTGTTTTTTTTTTTTTAAAGATTTTTATTTTTATTGGAAAGGTGGATATACAGAGAGGAGAGACAGAGAGGAAAATCTTCCGTCCGATGGTTTACTCCCCAAGCGGCTGCAACGGCTGGAGCTGAGCCAATCTGAAGCCAGGAGCTTCTTCCAGGTCTCCCACATGAATGCAGGGTCCCAAGGCTTTGGGCAGTCCTCAACTGCTTTCCCAGGCCACAGGCAGGGAGCTGGAAGGGAAGTGGAGCAGCCAGGATTAGAACTGGCGCCCATATGGAATCCCAGCACGTACAAGGCAAGGACTTTAACCACTACACTATTGCCAGGCCCAAGGTTCTGTATTTATTTGAAAGGCAGAGTTGCAGAGAGAGAGAGAGAGAGAGAGAGAGAGAGAGAGAGAGAGAACATGAGAGCTAGTGCTCTTCCATCCACTGGCTCAGCACCACCCCATATTGGCCCAATAGCCAGGTGTGGACCAAGCTTTAATTGGGAGCCTGGCACTCCATCTGGGTCTCCCACGTGGGTGCAGGGCCCAAGCCTCGGGCCATCCTCCACTGCTTTCCCAGGGGAATTACCAGGGAGCTGGTTTGGAAGTGGAGCAGCCAGGACCCATCCAGATGGGATGTTGACTTTGCAGGTGGTGGCTTAACTTGCAGTACTACAATGGCGGCCCTGGTGACTGACTTTGTTAGGTGGGGGAGTGGTCTGATTTTTAAAAGAATTTTACTGACTGAAAAAAAAAATCACACACACAAGCTCACTGGGAAAAAAAACATCTAGGCAGCTCTGCACTGCGTGAAGTAAAGTGAGGGTGCCCGCTCTGGAATGTCCTCCCCGTCTCGTCCCCGCCCCTCCTCTCCAGCCACACACACAAACTTTTCTCTCACACGAAGGCACAGGCAATCCCCAGGCTTGACCTCTGTTGACAGTATAGCCTACTGTTTATTTTGGTTTTTTTTAAAAAGATTTATTTATTTTTATTGCAAAGTCAGATATACAGAGAGGAGGAGAGACAGAAAGGAAGATCTTCCGTCCAATGATTCACTCACCAAGCGGTTGCAACGGCCGGAGCTAAGCTGATCTGAAACCAGGAGTCAGGAACTTCTTCCAGGTCTCCCATGCAGGTGCAGGGTCCCAAAGCTTTGGGTCGTCCTCGACTGCTTTCCCAGGCCACGAGCAGGGAGCTGGATGGGAAGCGGGGCCACTGGGACCAGAACCGGTGCCCATATGGGATCTGGTGCATGCAAGGTGAGGGCTTTATCTGCTAGGCCTTCTTCTTCTTCTTCTTCTTCTTCTTCTTCTTCTTCTTCTTCTTCTTTTTTAAGAAATTTATTCATTTATTATTCGAAAGGCAGATTAAATTTACAAAGAGAAGGAGATAATGAGAGAAAAATCTTCCATCTGCTGGTTCGCTCCCCAAGTGGCCACAGCAGTGGAGCTGAGCCAATCTGAAGCCAGGAGCCAGGAGCTTCTTCTGGGTCTCCCACATGGGTGCAGGGTCCCAAGGTTTTGGGCCGTCCTCTACTGCTTTCCCAGACCACAAGCAGGGAGCTGGATGGGAAGTGGGCAACCTGGACATGAACCAGTGCCATGGGATCCTGGCACTTGCAAGGTGAGGATTTAGCTATTGAGCCATTTTGCCAGCCTGGTATATTTCTTTAAAGTGGAGTTTTACAAAGTTAAAATTCCACCTGAACACTGTTACAGAGGAAATAATTTACCAGCTGTGACGTCTTCTGAGCAGACGGGGGAAGGAAGGTGAGGAGGACCCGGAAGCAGCCGCTGCCCTGCTCCTAAGCACGCCCAGCTGTTCCCAGAGCCACAGCCCTGTTTGTCCTTCAGCTCGCTGGGCATGTGCAAGGAGAAGGGGTCCCCAGCATTGATCAGGGTGGACGAAGGGCTTGCTAGGACACAGCACGGATGGGAAGGCAGAGTTGTGCCCAAGAGGTGGACACGGAGCCTTGGGCCTGCCTGGAGGAAGGGGCAAGCAAGGTGGGCATGAGGAGGGACCAGCGGCAGGGAGCATAGCACCTGGGAGACAAGGCAGGGGAGATAGAGGCCAGCACTGGAGCCTGGAGGACAAGAAGGAGAGGCAGGGAAAGGGGAACTGCCTCTTGGCAGTGGTGTGCACAGACCAAGGGCAGCCAGCGTCAGAGTGGGTGATGCTGTGTAGGACCTCGGCTGCTAGGATTGGGCTTCCACGGGGCTCCCTGGCCCTCGAGGGGTGACCCTGCAGTGGGCCGAGCAGGAGGCAGCCCCATGCAATGCCACGGCTATGGCCGAGACCTGTCCTCTGTGGCTCTGGGACCTTCCTTGCTTAGCCCATCTTTGTTTCCCCTCCCTCAAAGGCAGCTGGAAAGACGCTAGCACGCAGAGGAGCAGGTGAGCGGGCTAATGGAAAGCTCCACCTGGACATGCTGACCGTGACCGTCTGGAGGTCACAGGAGGAGAGCTGTTTCAGGTGGAAAGGCAGTGCTTTGGGCTGGTGCAGGAGCGTGGGGCGTCCCATGTGGAGGCCTCCGGTCAGTGCTGCTCCGCTTTGTTTCCGTTCCCTCCTGGTGGCCTGGGAGAGCAGTGGAAGCTGGCCCCTGCACCCACGCATCTGAATGAGGCCGCTTTGGCCATTGAGGGCTGCCAGAGCCCAGCAGGCACCTGAGCAAGTCCTCCCAGGCTTCGAGAACAGCTGACTGCTCCACCTTTGCTGCGAAATCAGAAAGTCTAACAGACTGTTTTTCTTTTTTGCCTCTTTGTCTTTGAGAGCTGTTTCTTACCAAGTGTGGTTTAATTTTTACTTTTTGCACATCACATGAAGTAGATCTGCCACTGTGTATTCATATTAATCTCCAACAGGCTGTTTGCTTCAAAATAGCTTCCTAATGTACCCAAAGATTAAACAATATCAACAGGTAGATGAATTCACACGGGAGGGAGCCAGCCTCAGGCTCAGCCTTTGAGAACCGGTCTGCTTGCTTGAGGCTGAACTCCACTTTCAACCCAGTTTCTGCGGGTGCCTGTCTGGTGGCTGGGTGCCAGGATGGGAGCAGGTGATGGTTGGCCCAGGCCCCCTGCCACCCAGGGGGAGACCTGAATTGGATTCTGGGCTCCTGGCTTCGGTCTGGTGCAACCCAAGCTGTTGGAGACTTTTGGGGATGAATCAGCAAATGGAATACCTCTGTGTCTTTCAAGTTAAGTGAAAAAAAAAAAAAAGAAAGAAAGAAAAGAAAATTAGCAGAGGGAAGGGCAGCACAGAAGGAAATGGAGGGCAGCTCTGACGTCCCTGCTTGGTGCCTTGCCCACTTCGTAAAGGCCACTGTGCTTATTGCCCGTTCCAAATACCCACGACACTTGGAGGCCATGTGGGGCAGGCTCTGCTGGATCGGTGCACTGTGAGGACTGAGCGAGCTGCCGATCTCACTGCCCCTCGGAGCCCTTGGCAGATGTGCCTCTGCCGCCTCTGCTCTCACGTGACCCAGAGCTGAGCAGGTAGGAAGGGGGCGGCTGGGGCTGCCTGCAGCTTTTGCTTCAGGAACCTTAAATCCTGTGAGTCTTCCCTGCTGTGGGGGTATTGATAACTGGTAGGCCCTTCCAGCACCCAGGAGTGGGTGCCAGTGTCTGTAGCACTGGCATCTCATACAGTGCACCAGGTGAAGTCCAGGCTGCTCCACTTCTGAGCCAGCTCCCTGCTGATGCACCCGGGAAAGCGGCAGTGTCCAGTGCTTGGGTCCCTGCACCCGCATGGCAGACTAAAGAAGCTGGAGCCTGGCTTCTGCCAGACTCACTCTAGCTACTGTAGCCATTTGAAGATTGAGTCAGTGAGTGAACAGTGTGTGTGTGTGTGTGTGTGTGTGTGTGAGAGAGAGAGAGAGAGAGAGAGAGGGAGAGAGACCCTCTTGCTGTCATTCTGCCTTTCAAGTAGACGTTGTCTGGGCTGCTGGCATCCTGTATCAGAGCCCGCCAGGTTCTAGTCTGCTCATCCTGGGAGGCCTGGATGAGTCCCGGCTCCTGGCTCGGTCTGACCCTGCCCTGGGCATCTCTGCAGCCCCTCGTCAGCACAGGTGACAGTGAACAGGACAGCCGCCGGAGGAGGTGTAAACAATGCCTTAGTGAGGGTAGAATCATGTTGCCAGATTCTGCTCAGACCCCTCCAGGGATGGGAGCAGTGTGGGGATGTGTTCCCACAAAATCCAGGGCATGCGAAGGAGCTGAAGTGCTGCTGGCTTGGCACAGCCACCGCTTGGGCCTGGCAGGGGAGAACTGGTCATCGGGACCGTTGGAACCTTGACCTGGGGAAGGGTGAGTGGCCAGCGGCTGTGTGCCTCCACGGGTCCACTGAGGCATGCTGGAGTGTGTGTCCCTGTCAGCACAGACTGACAGTCCTTCAGGATGCATTCTCGGTGTCTGGGGAAAGAGATGTGACGCTCTGGAATTTTCTCTCCGGGCAGGTCCACAGAGCTGGATTCCAACTGGTCCTGGTTCCAGCTGCGCTGCATGCAGGTCGGAGGAAACGCCAATGCTGTGAGTGTGTGTGTGGGCACCAGGGTGCAGGGCGTGCTGGGGAGCCAGGGTGCAGGGTATGCTGGGGAGCCAGGGTGCAGGGTGTGCTGGGGAGGCTGGCAACCCACATGGTCAGGGGCCAGGGTGCAGGCCAAGTGACCACAGCTTCCTGGTGACTGAGTGTTGGCATGTAGAATGGGCTGCTTGTACTTGGTTCATAGCTAACTTAATAAATCTACAAATTAAAACACTGCTCTTTATTATAGCAGATATGTTAATTCACAAACTTAATAGCATTGTTCGATTTTCAGTTTATTACAACCTTAGAAGTAAGGATTCTAAAAGAATAAGAAGTGAGGCTTCTTTAACCCCATTTAGAAACCTGGTTAATGTATCCTGGGCCCTGCATGTTAGTGACTGGTTTAATAGTTTGGTCCACTTGCCACCAGCCAGCCAGGCGACGGCCACGTCTCCCCAGCCACACACCAGTGTGCGCTCCGCACAGCCGCCCGGCGCACACTGGGTCGGCCGAGTTCCCTTATATATGCTGTTAAAGGGAGAATAAGAAACCAAATTTGTAGATTTGTACACACTTGAAATAAAAATTGTATCTAGCATTAAGTTATAAAGCTGAAATACTAGTTTTCAAGATGTCTGATTCCCTTAAATCAGTGTTTTCAACCTTTCCCCTTTTTTGCTCCCAAGCAGAAGAGTTTAATTAACTGGATTAATTTTAAGCTTAAATTGGGCTTAATAATGGACTTGTGGCCCAGCTGATTAAGTTATTGCCTGGGACAACCGTGTCCCATATTAGAACTCCTGCTTCTAGTCCTGGCTACTCCACTTCCTGTTCAGGTCCCTGCTGAAGACAGCAGAGCTGGCTCAGGGACTTGGGGCCCTGTCTGCTCCGTGGGGGGCTCGGTGGGAGCTCCTTGCTCCCCGCTTAGGGCCGGCTTGGTCCCAGCTATCACAGGCATTCGAGGAAGGATCCAGAATATCTACCCACTGCTCTGTCTGTTGCTCTGCCTTTCCAATCAATAAATTTTAAATAAAGAAAGAAGTTAGAGTCCAGCACTGCGGCACAGCAGGGTAAGCCACTGCCTGTGACACTGGCATCCCACATAGGTTCCACTTCAAGTCTTGGCTGCTCCACTTATGGCCCAGCTTCCTGCTAATGTGGCTGGGAAAGCAGCAGAGGCTGGTTCAAGTGCTTGGACCCCTGCACCCATGTGGGAGACCCGGAAGAAGCTCCTGGCTCCTGGGCTGTGGCCATTGGTTCACTCCCCAAGTGATTGCAATGGCTGGAGCTGAGCCAATCCGAAGCCAGGAGCTTCTTCCAGGTCTCCTACACAGGTGCAGGGTCCCAAGGCTTTGAGCTGTCCTCAACTGCTCTCCGAGGCCATAGGCAGGGAGCTGGATGGGAAGAGGAACTGCCGGGATTAAAACTTGCGCCCATATGGGATCCCAGTGCGTTCAAGATAAGGACTTTAGCCACTAGGCCACTGCGCCGGGCCCACTATCTGTGATTCTGCCTTTCAGATATGTAAATAAGTCTTTTAATTAATTAACAAAAATAAAAAATAAAATAAAAATTAATTAATAGGATTTAATGTCTCTATAATGAGAGGATTAAATATGAAAGCATGTACTTTTGTTAGGCGCTGGCAAGTTTTGGCAGGCCAGGGACCATCATAATAAACATCAGATTTTTTTCCTTTAAGTAAGAAAACTTTTGCCCTTTTTCTCAGGGACCTTGTTAGAAACCCCTGCCCGTTGTCTGGTGGGAAAGTGTGTATGTGAACTTTTCGCGACGTGTAAATGGGTGTATTTTGGGCTGGTGTCACCTCCCAGACTCCCTTTGGCTGGGTCACATGGTCTCAGCGTCGGGCTGAGCGTGGTGTTTGTTAACCTGCGCCCCTCCCTCCACAGTCTTCATTTTTCCATCAACACGGCTGCACCACCAGTGACACCAACTCCAAGTACAGCAGCCGCGCTGCGCAGCTCTACAGGGAGCGAGTCAAGTCGCTGGCCACCCAAGCCACGCGGAAGCACGGCACCGACGTAGGTCCCACGAGGGGCGGCTGGCTCCTCCTGAGCAGCTGGTCATCCCAGGCAGGGGCGCTGCTGGCCAGGGTGCGAACAGCGCATAGCTGAGCCCAGTCGGGTGGCGGCAGGGAACTCAAGGCACCGTGTCGTCAGCCAACCCTAGCGTGGGTTTCTGCTCTGAGTCGCCTTATCTGACACACATGGTTGACTCACGAACACAGGGCTGTGACCCTGCCCAATTGAAGCTTCTGGAACATGTGCTTGCCGCCAAGGCACGCTGCAGGCCACGGGCGCTCAGCGCGTGGGGGCCACCTTAGCGGCAGAAAGCACACATGTGGCGCGTGAAGCATGGAGCTGACCTCATGATGGACGCCTGCTTCTGCCCACACAGGGATGCACTGTCGCCCTCTCAGTTCAACAGGGCGTGCACTTAGTGCCATTCATTTCTGTTGCTGCAAACTTGTCTGCAAGTTAACTAAAAACACCGTGGCCAGGTGGCGCTGGCCTTGACCAGCAGGCGAATCCATCCAGGTGGGCCCTGAGAATTGGGAGGTCCTGGGGTCTCCTTCCATATACGCGGCTGCTGTCGCTGGGTTCCTGACTCCTCCGGCTTTGGAAGCAGGACTTTCTGGATGGATCCGTTGCTGACGTGCTCCCAGGAGTGGGCTGCAGAGTCTCCAGGGGAGAGGAAGGGAGAGTGAGCTGGCAGCCCTGGGTGGTCATCAGGGCACTGAGTTCGGGCTGCATTCTCTTCCAGCTGTGGCTCGATAGCTGTGTGGTCCCGCCCGCGTCCCCACCACCGAAGGAGGAAGACTTCTTTGCAGCTCACGTGCCTGCCGAGGTCAGTGCTCATGCTGTGTTTCCCCTAGCTCCGGCAGGAAGCCAGCCCGCTGCGCCCCTGGAGTGACAACTCGGAGAAACAGTGGCTTAACTGGGATGAGCCGGAGCGACCAGAGCGGCTCAGTGGTCTGGGGTGACGTGGCTGCGAGCCCAGGCTCTGGCTCGGCTCTCCTGGCCAGGGAAGAGCAGTGTCTCCTCAGGGCACTGCAGAGTGTGCTGGGACCCCAGCGGGGGCGAGCGGGGGTCCCGCTCCTCATCGGCCTCCGGCAGCCCGGAACTTTGGGTTGATTGAGAACTAGGGCACTTGTTGCCTCTTTGCACCCTGGTTTTGCTGTGAGTTTGACACTGACCCAAGTCTGTTTTGAGAACTGGAGGCAGCAGTGCACAGGACCAACAGCGAGAGCCCCGATGGGGCTGTGCCCTGTCGCCTCTGCCGGCTCAGCTGAAGCCTGCCCTGCCTTCCCCGTGGCACTGAGCAAGGGACGCTGGAGCCTCAGGAGTGTCTCTCGGACTTGGAAGAGGCTCCTGGCTCCCAGCTTGAAGCAGCCCAGCCGTCGTGGGCATTTGGGGAGTGAGCCAGCAATGGGAGGTCTTGGTGGGTGTCACTCTGCCTTTCTGATAAGGAAAGGTGTCATTGGGCCGCCTCGTCCGCTCGCTGAGGGCCCACGTGAGGTGTAATGCCATTCCACCCCAGCTGCCTGCCACGTGCTCCTCGGGAAGCAGCAGGTTCCTGGGTGCTTGAACCCTTGCTTCCAGGTAGAAGGCCAAGGTTGAGTCTTTTTTTTTTTTTTTAAGATTTATTTATTTGTATTTCAAAGATAGAGTTACAGAGAGAAGATGAGCAGCCAGGACTCGAACTGACACCCATATAGGATGCTAGCACTGCAGGTGGAGGCTTAACCTACTATGTCATGGTGCCGGCCCCACCCCCATTTATTTATTTAAGATTTATTTGAAAGGCAGAGTTACAGAGAGAGACAATTTCTATTCATTCACTCTCCAGATGGCGACTATGACAGGCCCTGGGACACGGTGAAGCCAGGAGCCAGGAACTTCATCAAGTTCTCCCACATGGGTGGTAGGGGCCAGGTGCTTGGGCCGTCTTCTGCTACATTCCCAGGTGCATCAGCAGGGAGCTGCATCCGGGACTTGAACCAGCTCCCGTATGGGATGCCAGCATTGCAGACGGTGGCTCAATGTGTCCCGTGTCCTTACCTGCCCCAGGCTCCTGGCTCTGCCCTGGCCCAGGCAGCACTGTCGTTGCATCTAGGGAGGAAACCAGCAAGTGGAACGTCTCTGCCCTTTAAATAAATAAGAAATAAGTAATGTACTTTTAAAAAAGAACAAAAGAGTCAAGTGGACAGACCCTCTCTGCAGCTTCAGGTCACCGAGGCTGTCCAACGCTCACAGTGCTTTGTTCCCAAGCGCATTCAGGGACAGCCCTGACGCATGTCTCCATGGACGTGCTGGCTGGGCCTGGTGAGCTGTCAGCACCCCCTGGTCTGCCCCGTCTGCTAACACTTCTCTCCCTTTGCCCCAGCTCGCCAGCACAGCCTGGGCATCTGTGCAGCCGGAGTTGCCTCCTTCCACAGCAAAGGCCGTGGTGACAATGCCAGAAAGCAGTGAAGGTAAGGCGTGGGGAGCCCCCGTGCATAGCGCGGCACCGTGACGCTGCGGGTGTCGGGTGCAGGTCCTGCCGGGTTAGCACAAGTCCACACAGAACAGACTGGAGGAAGCTGCACACGGACTAGGATCTTGCTTTTCTGAAAGAGAAACAAAAGCATACACAAGTGAAGCTTCTTGTTTTAAGGATTATTTTGTGGGCGGTGTGATGGCTCAGCAGAACCCTCACCTTACACGTGCTGGGATCCCACGTGGGCACTGCTTCTTGCTCCAGCCACTTCACTTCCCATCCAGCTCCCTGCCGGTGGCCTGGGAAAGCAATCAAGGACAGCCCAAAGCCTTGGGACCCTGCACCCGTGTGGGAGACGGAAGAAGCTCCTGACTTTGGATTAGCTCAGCTGGCTGTTGCAGCCACTTGGGGAACTGACTCAGAAATCTTTCTCTGTCTCTCCTTTTCTCTGTAGATTTGCCTTTCCAATAAAAATAAATATATATATTTTAAAAAGTATTTTATTTATTGGAAAGAGTTACAAAGAGAGAGAGGGAGAAATGACAGAGGTCGTCCACCTGCTGACTCACTTCCCAAGAGGCTGTAACAGCCAGGGTGGACCAGACCGGAGCCTGAGCAGGGGACCAGGGCACAGTGGCAGGGAGCAGGATCGGAAGTGGAGCATCGGAGCCTCAAACTGATGCCCATGCAGGAAGCTGGCACTGAGAGTAGGGCAACTCTCTGTAACGCTGCTGTTCAAGTAAATGAAATCTTTGAAGAGAAGTGCAGCCTATTAGCCAGGGGCTGAATTAAAATGGCAGTAATTAAAGTGACTGCTAATATTCTTCCTATGGAAAGGCACTTAATTAAAAAAAATATATGCTTATGTTCAAGTAAACTTTAGATGTCAGGACATGCAACCACGGGGTGGCTGTGGATGGGATTGGTCAGCTGTGTGCCCAGGCACGCGGGCTTGCTCTGTGTTCCCTGCTAGCTGCGGAGTACTTTTTGCGTTAATGTCGGTGTTTCCAACGTGCAGGTGGACCAGAAGTGGGGCCAAGCGTGGAAGGCCTCAATGCCCCTGTGAGGGCCGCCTCGGGTAAGAGCCCGGGACACTCCCCTGCTGCGATGGCGAGCTGCACCCAGCAGCGCGCTCTCTTCCTGCGACTGCCGAGGGTGCGGCTGCACTGTGCCAGCCGGGTCACCGCGCAGCAGGCCCAGTGACGCCTGGGACGCAGGCAGTACGCCCACCCCCTCTCTGCGCACGCAAGAACTCGGCATTTGCATGTTCCTCTGATGTTACGGCAGATGAACTTAATCATTAATTTCTCATTATCGTGAATTCTGATCTGAAACAGATGCGTGTGAACCCACCCAAGTTGGAAAGTAGATGGAAAATGGCTCAAGGATTAGAAATGGTCCTCGCTGGCGGTTGGGGGTCAGCTCTGTGGCCCCTAGACAGATCAGAGAACCGGGGGCGGGGTGGGGGAGGGGAGAGGGGCTGCCCCGGGTCTCCCCCGCGCCCCGTGAAGTGTGGTCAGGGCTGGAGACAGGGAGCTTCCGCCGTCTCTTCCTGCCAGCTCATTCTCATCTTTGTAAGGAAACGTGGAAATTTTGTTCTTGCCGCGCCCACCCTGAGCGCACCCCTGGGAGCCCCACGTGGAGCCCGAGGTTAGGATCTGCTCAGGGCCGCCTGCGCAGGCGCGTCGGGTGTGTTCTGGCGGCTTAGAGAGACCCCCTCCCCTCCCCAGGGAGACAGCCCCTTTGGGGTGACCGTGGAGCGGCCTAGCTCTGTGTGTGAGTGCACACGGCTCAGCAGTGTGTGGCACGAGGCCCACAGCCCAGGGAGGGGCGTGCTCGGCCGCGCCCCGGGTTAGGAGCTGGTGAGGAATGGGACAGCCTCCTGGGGGACGGTGCCCAGCGCCCAGCAAGTCCTGGGGCATACATTGAAGTAGAGAGGTGGGGTGTAATTTCTGTGAGGCTAATGTTGATTTGCATTTTTTTTTCTGGCAGAGGTCTCGTCTCTTATAAAGAAGAAACCCAATCAAGCTAAGAAAGGAGTGAGTATGATTTATAAAACGTCAGGTACTTTGGCTTTTAAAATCCAACCGTACTTTGTCAGGTAGACTTATTTGTATATATATATATTTTTTCTAAACTTTGAACCATGTCCTCAGTGTGCCTTTGACCAAGAGTCGTATGTCTCATTCACTATGATGGGTATTTCCCAAGAGAATAGTCTAGAATATTATCTGGGATGAGTATTTAGCATTCTAGAATATTCTTTGTAATGAGTATTTAGCATTTCTTCTATGACAAAGGGCTTTAAAAATGCGCATGCCCGCTCGCTGCCCCCTGTGCTTCTGTGAGCAGTGATGCCCTGGGAGCAGCAAACTGCTTGTCCTGGACACACTCCCTGGTGCCCTCTGGGCAGCTCACCTAACCCTCGCCAGCCTCCATGTCCTTGTCCATAGCCTGGGGGTGGCGGCACCGTGGGCCTCGCCGACCTGAGGGCACTGAGCCAGAGGGTGCGTGGAAGGTGCCTGTCACGTGCCTGGTGGATCAGAAACTCCCAAGTGAGCCGTGTTGGGCACAAGTCTTCAGGGAAGACTCGAGTGGACCTGAGTCCTTTCTTTCTTCCAGCTTGGAGCCAAAAAAGGAGGCCTGGGGGCCCAGAAACTGGCGCACACGAGCTTTGATGACATCGAGAAACAGGCTCAGGCTGCAGACAAGAGGAAGGCGCAGGAAGAGCTGGCCAGGGCGGCCCCCAAGGAGGAGTCCATGTGAGTGACTTTGTGAGGGCGTTCAGTTCTGGGAAGCGGGAGTGTCGGACAGCGCCAGGGTCTGCATGTCCATGTGCATGTGGGCACGTGTGTGTGTGTCTGTATATGTGGGCAACAGCATGTGTGTGTGTCTGTATATGTGGGCACAAGGGTATGTGTGTATGTGTGGGCACAAGAGTGTGTGTGTGTCTGTGTATATGGGCACACGGGTGTGTGTATATGTGTGGGCACATGGGTATATGTGTGTGTGTCTTTGTATATGTGGGCACACAATGTGTGTATGCCTGTGTATTATGTGGGCACGTGGGTGTGTGTATGTGTTTGTGTATATATGGGCACAGGGGTGTGTGTGTGTCTTTGTATATGTGGGCACACAATGTGTGTGTATATGTGGGCACACAGGTGTGTGTGTATGTGGGCACATGGGTGTGTGTATGTGGGCACGTGGGTGTGCATATGGGTTCGTGTATATATGGGCACATGGGTGTGTGTGCGTGTCAGACTGTGGAGGCTTCTCTTTCAAAGGAAGGGGCCTAGTGATGGGGGGCGTGGTGACAGCTGCTGGTTGAAGCGGCAAGGAGGGGCTGGTGTTGGGAGGGGGAGAGTTAGGAGATGCAAGTGTGCGTCCGTGGACGTGGAGAGACATCGAGACATCCACGTTTCACACAAGAACTTGCTGTGCATGCGCGTGCTGGCAGCGTGATCCTGCTCACCAGAAATGGAGCAACCCAGGTGTCCATCACCCGTGAGCTGGTGCTTCCTGTCGGTCCCCATGAGGAACTGTCACTTAGCCATAAGAGGCACACGGTGTTGGCCCCTGAAGCTGTGCTAAGCTTGAGCTGAGACCGAAGCCGCCCAGAACCCATGTCCTGTGTGGATCCGAAACGGGGCTGGGCCTTGTGGTGCAGTGGTTAAGCCACCCCTTGGTGTGCCCACATCCTCCTGTATCGACATGTCTGATACTACCAGACACCCCCCAAAGCCACTTGGAGAAGTTCCTGAAGAACCCCGAAAACAGGGTCCCTCTGCCTGACGTGTAGTACCCTGTCGCTGGGTGGTGGGAGAGAGCATGTGCACAGCACCCTTTAGCTGCTGGGCCCGCAGGTTCCCCGAGGTGAGCAGGCGTGGTGGGGCTTTGGGTCGGCCCACAGTGTGTGGGCCTTCCACGGGCAGCATGACTGCTTGGCAGTGACAGCAGCCCCAGTCTGTCTGGGCTCAGGGTAGGTTGGGTGTTCGTGTCGGAGTTCCTGCAAAAGCTCTCCGAACTGAAGCTAGCGTGGGTGTTCACCTGTGTTCACCACGGAGCGGTTGAGTCATTCTGATTCAGAGTCTCCTATCTGTGTCACTCCCCCAGCTTGACGATGTTCACACAGGAGCCATAGGCTAGAGACACTGGGGCTTGGCAAAGGCATTGGGAACAAGCAGGCTCAGCTCGCTGGGATCAAGTCCCGTCCAGCTCCCTGCTTGTGGCTTGGCAAAACAGCACAGGATGGTCCACGCCCTCGGGCCCCTGTACTCACATGGGAGATATGAAAGAAGCTCCTGGCTTTGGGTCAGCTCAGTTCCCCACATTGCAACCATTTGAGAGTGAACCAACAGAAGGTCTGTGTTTTTCTCCTTTTCTCTGCAAATCTCTTTCCAATAAAAGTAAATAAATCTTTCAGACATTGACAGTACACGGACATCCAGAACAGGCAGCTGCCGAGTTCTAGGGGAGGAGGGCGCGGAGTGCCAGTGGTTGTGGAGCTGCTTCTTGGATGCTGAGAACGTTCTGGCATTTGGCAGTGATGGTGCCGTAACCTTGGGAAAATATGGAAAACTCCTGTGCTGTGAGCTTTAAACGGGTGAATGTCACGGACAGTGCAGCCAGCAGAGCCTGCTGGGCTCAGACTGGACCCTGCAGCCGGAAGGCCGGGGGACCTGTGCCAGTCCCAGGGCTTGGGGGGAAGAAGCCCGGGGATTGCCAAAGTCGGGGGACTACAGTGGTTGGGTGCCGAGGAGAGCCCCCCACCAGGTGCTGTGGGGAGGTGGCTGGTGACGTCAGGACAGAATGGGGGAGTTCCAAGCCAGGTAGGAGAGGGGAGGCCGGCTTGTAGGACTTAAGAGGTTTCCTCTGGTTTGGAAACAGAAGAGCTCCGTGTGCGCCTGGCGCCGGGACCCACCTGTGGCCAGGTGAGGACTAGAGGAGGGGCCCGGGGCGGAGGAAGGGCAGCTGCAGTCCTGCTGTCTGCCTGTGGTAGGCTAGTTTGTGGTGTCTTCTCTTATTTTCAAGTGTACCAGGGTACTTGCCGATGAATTCAAAGGCAAGTTTATGCGACACAATCCTGAAGCCAGTGTGGGGTTCTCTTACAATGCACATTTCCCACAAATATCCTGAGGACCTGTCATGCGCGTGGATTTCAAAAAATGTTTGTACCAACACAAACTTGGCTTTTGATTCTGTTTTCCACAGGCTTTGGGAAGACCCCTCTAGCTCGAGTCGTTCAGCATGTGTCGCGAAGGCAGTGCTGATACACAGTGTGGCTTGGTTCAGATCACAGACTATGCAGGCCCAGCATCACTTCTGCCTGCAGTTGGGCTCACAGAACGTAGGGGGCAGCATTGAGCTGTTCTTGGATGACCTCCGGGTAGCCAGGGTTGGCTGCTCAGGGCCTGTGTCCTTAGAGTGGAAGTGGGCTCCCGCGGTTTGGTGGTGCAGCTGTGTATGCTGTCACAGCAGCACTGTGGCCTGTGCCCACGGCCCATGGGGGTTGTGTGGATGTGGTAGCAGGAAGGGCAGGAGGGGACACAGTCACCCCGGTCTCCTGCAGTCCTCGCTGGGCCAGCCTCTGGGAAGGGCCCCCCCCGATTCTTGCTTCTGCCATGCTTCCTGGGTGCACGCATGGATGAGATGCGTAAGTTAGGCTGTGAGTTAGCTGTGTGTGGTATGGCCCCACTGCCGTGTGTATTAGCAGGGGTCCAGGTTTCTTCGTGTGTTTAGGAGGGTGTTTATGCAACTGTTGATCCCTTGGGCACGTTGTTGGCGATGGGAATTTGATAAGGAAGATAGGTGAGCTTGTGCCTGGTCTGCAGGCGCTGCTCCCAGACCTGATCGTGCAGGCACTGCTTCCGTTGTAAGCAGCAGGATGCTCTTCAGGCTGGCAGGCCCCCTCATTTACCTCCTCGCATCAGTTAGACAGGTGTCTGACCCCAGAGTAGTGCGTGCTGTACCAGAGCGCACAGCAAAATATTCTTCCAGGGAAGCCGGCTCGCACCCTCACAGGACAGCAGGTGTTGGCGCTGCCGGCCAGCAGCAGTTACCGGAGTGGCTGGGAACTCATTCCAAATTTAAGTGTCTATTCGAAAAACATCTGCAGGGAGAAAGCACTGAACTGTCTGCATGGTTGGTAATTACAGAAAGAAGGCTGAAGCTGAAACTGGAAGGTCCGTGCTGAGTTCTGTGTAGCGTTTTCCCTAAGGAGGTTGGAGTGACATTACGCGCTCTTGCTTTCTTCGGCAGTGTCTCCTCGTTGCGACTAGCCTACAAGGACCTTGAAATTCAGACGAAGAAAGACGAGAAGATGAACCTGAGTGGCCAAAAGAAAGCCGAGGCCGAGAGGCTGGGCATGGGCTTTGGAAGCTGCAGAAGGTACGTGGCCTTGGCTGCCCACGGCAGCGTGCCGCGCCCGTGCTCCTCCCTGGGACCGCGGGTTTCAGCTGCGGAGGCTTCTCCTGCCTCCGCTTCTCTTGATGGTTTCTGGTTAACTATTCACTGTGGCAGGACAAATCCTTGCTTGGTTCTTGGAAAAGCACACTCGCCTGAGCAGGTACCGCAGATGTCATCAGTGATACGGGGACTCTTCTAGAAGTTCATAAGAAGTTAATTGAAAGATACATTTATTAACCATCAATAGATATGCACAGTGTCTCTTATTAGTCATTTTCTATGAACTTTTGGAAGACCATATATGTGTGTTCAGTTTCAAAATATTTCTGCACCTGGGGGTGAGGGTGGCACAGTGGGTTGGGCCCACATGGGATGCCAGTATCCCAGCCGCTCCTCTTCTGAGCCTGCTCCTTGCTAATGCATCAGGCAAAGCAGCAGAGGGTGGCCCGCGTGCTTGGGCCTGCACCAACATGGGAGATGCAGGTGGCTCCTCCTGAGCCAGGCTTGATTGTTGCAGTCACTTGGGGAGTGACCCGGCAGAGGAAAGACTACTGTTCTCTCTCCCTTCCCCATCACTCTGCCTTTTAAATAAATAAAATAAACCAGAATATGTGTGTGTATGTGTAGATATGTTTATATATATACACAGACACATATAGTTGCACCAACATAAAATTGTATTTGAATTTATTTTCCATGAACTTTATAAAGTACTTCATAGACAGCTGTTTCGGTAGTCACAGTCCTCACAAAGATGGAGTATTTTGGCAACTTACACTGTGTGTTGCTTTGCCCCTGCCGGTGAATCTGTCTGGCACACAGGCGAAGGCCTTGGACCACTGGCGCCAGCTGACGTGACATTGTGTCTGCCTCTGTTTCCTCCAGCGGCATCTCACACTCGGTGACGTCAGACATGCAGACCATAGAGCAGGAGTCGCCGGTGCTGGCCAAGCCGAGGAAGAAGGACACTGAGGACAGTGATGAGTCCTACTTCGCCTCCAGCTCCAGGTAGCCCCGTCCAGGGTCCTCGGCAGCCGCGACATTGGCTGACCGGCCCAGGCACGGGCCCTCATCGGCCGTGACCTCGGCTGACCTGCCCAGCTACAGGCCCTTGGCAGCAGCAACGTCGGCTGAGCTGCCCGGCCACGGGCCCTTGTCGGCCACATAGTCAGCTGACTGGTCCAGCCACGGGCCCTCAGCAGTCACTGCCTTGTTTCTGAAGGCGCTGGCCAGGGGTCAGAGACTGTTCTTCAGAGTGAAGATCAGGGGGTGCCGTGGTGGGCGTGGGTGAGAATGGGTCGTGGCCCTGAGGGGTGTGAGCAGAGGTGGGAGCTGTGCGTGTGTGCAGAACTCCAGGGGCATGGGCTGGGGAGGTGGGAGCGTGGCCAGTGCGGGACAGTTCACGGTGCCATGGGCCACCCCAACCTCCTGGTGTGGGATGCCAACTTTGGGGCGGCCTGGCAGGCATGCCCCGTTTGGTGTCTGTGTGTTGATGGATGACCAGGTCCATGTCGTCCAGCCCTCGCTCTCAGGGCTGGGGCATGGGAAATACACTGGTTTAGGTGGCAATAGTCCGCGGGGGCAGGGAGGGTGAGGCTGCACTTGAACCTGCCCACGTGCTGAGGTTCCTCTGAGAGCTGATCAGCTGAAAAGGCGGCACGTGACTCCCAGGACGTTGCTAGAGGCAGGACAGCCCAGGTTTGCCCTTGCCCGTGGCTGTGAGTGCTCGGCCTGTTACTGACCTCTGAGCTGCGGCCTTGTCCTCTGTGACTTAGAAGTAGCATTCACAGGAGGGCTGATCGAGCTCCTGTAAGCGGCCCTGGGTCTGCGCTGGGCTCTCGTGGCTACTGCGGCTGACTGCTCTAGAACCCAGACACACGGTGTGGGGGCTGGGCTTGGGCTCTGTGCTTTCAGGAGCAGGCAGTGGACCACCTGCAGGTGGAGGGTACCTGCTGGTGACGACCGTGCCCACCAGGCCCACCACTCACACCTCAGAGGACGCCGATGTTGACCTGTCCACAGGTTGAGGGGAGCGGTCACAGTTCCCTCTGTAAAGCGCTCATGAGCCAGTTAGCTAGGGACTGTGACCCGCTTGTCAAGGTGTGTGACTCCCTAGCAGTTTACAGAGGAGGAATCGCACAGAGTGCTGCCCTTGGCACTCCCCGGAGCATGCACTACAGCACTTCCAATCCAGCAGTTTATATTAAAAAAAAAAGGGAGTTGTGATGTCTGTACCACTGCTTCCAGAACCTTCTTGGCAGCCCTGAGCTCACCTGGTGCTTATTTCCTGCGTAAGGCACCTTGCTTCCGCTCACCTAGATGTTGAACCCAGATGGGACCTCGGGGGAGTTCCCTCCTGGCCAGGCAGGTGTGCAGCTTGTCATCTAACCAGGAACCTTCCTGCACATCATGTCACTGCAAATGGGGAGCAGAACAAGGGCGCAAGACACTGGGGATGTGGGCCGTGCACTCGGGGAGCCGGTGGGCGGGTGGGAGGAGCTCAGGCTGCCTGCGGTTTTAAAGGTTTCAGTGGAAGTGCCCAGGGGTCTGTGCTGCCACTCACTGCCGTTCCCAGGCCACAGGCCCAAGCAGGCCACAGTCAGCCTTGTTCATCGTGTCTATAGGGGTGGTGTCAGCACCGTCTCTGGGCCCTGGTTGTGTCTCCCTGTCTTACCCTGGTTTGCATGTGGGCAGCCAAGATGAGAAGGGCCCTTGGAAAGCAGGTGCTGGGCGAGGGGTATGCTGGGTGAATCTGCCACTGGCTGTGAGAATGTGAGCCCATGGGTCATCTGAGAATGAGTGCTGTGAGTCATGGGAGGGCGTGGGCACCGTGGGTTGCGGGAGAGCCCTGGCCCCCTTCAGGGTAGGTCACATGTCCCTTGGGTCGGCTTTGTGTCAAGTCCCATCATCTCCAGCCCTGCCCTGTGCAGAGAACGGCCTGGCCCCATGGCCTCAGCCCCATGGCCAGAGCCTAGATGCCCGTCCAGAGCTGCCGTGCTGGTGTCTCAACATGTTGGGGGGGCTCCTGGCACGGGTTAAGGATTGTTTATAGGATGGTTGATGGCAGAGCAGGAGGGTGAGCCTCAAAGTGAAAACGCGTGGGCACTGGGTCTGGACATCAGAAGACAGGGAGGCCAGGGCTGGCAGAGAGAGGGGCCCAGGCCCCACACACTCACAGAGTCAAGTGGTCCTGTGCACCCTGTCTCCCTGCCCTGCCCCCACCAGGGTCCAGCCCACATAGCTGGCTGCTGGGCAGTGGGGTCCATGAGAGTCCTGGAAAATGGCACGGGTGGTGTCTCCCAGGCCAGCAGTCCTAGGTGGCCGTGGTGCTGGGGGGACCTGTGAGGTGCGCATGCCTCCACTGTCACACAGGTACCTGGACGACCCACTGGAGCTGAGGGGCAGTTCCTTCCCCAGCTGGGGCGACAGCGCAGACTCCTGGAGGAAGGAGAGCAGCAGAGACGTGGGAACGGTGCTGAAGGGCACGGGCTACGCAGACAGGTGAGTGCGCCCTCGCTGACTGCCAGGGAGCGAGCGGCTGGGCCACTCCGCCATTGTGCACGCGTGTTCTCTTACCCCTCAGCTTGGGACATGCGATGGCTTGTCCTCCGCCATTGTGCACGCGTGTTCTCTTACCCCTCAGCATGGGACACGTGGTGGCTTGTCCTCCGCCATTGTGCACGCGTGTTCTCTTACCCCTCAGCTTGGGACATGCGGTGGCTTGTCCTCTGCCTTGTCAGCGTGAAGCAGCAGGAATCCTTACGAATGGTGTGTAGTGTGCATGGTCATCTCTTTCTAGAACTTTCAGACTTTTTAAAAGAAGATTATATGTTTTTATCTGAGAGGCAGAGTTAGAGGAGAAACAGATCCTCCACCACTGGTTCACTCCCCAAATGGGCACAGTGGCTACAGCTGAGCCCGTCCGAAGCCAGGCGCTTCATCCAGCGCTGCCCCATGGGTGGTATGAGCCCAACACTTGGGCCATTCTCTGCTGCTTTCCCAAGCTGTTAGCAGGGAGCAGGATCAGAAGTGGAGCAGCCAGGCATGAACGGCGCCTACACGGAATGCCCGCGCCAGAGGCAGTGAATGGCATTAGCTGCCCCATCACAACACTGGGTCCCTTCCTCTTTTACCATTGTATCTTTCAAATCAAGATAACATCAGTTAAATCAAAGGGGCAGGCGTTTGGCCTAGCCCCTCCCGATGTGGGGTACCTGGTGTGCTCTGCACATCTGCTGGCGCAGACGCTGGGAGGCAGCAGTCATGGCTCAGGTCATCGGGTCCCTGACAGCCACCAGGAGGCCTGTGCGCAGTTCTTGGACCCCCAGCCAGTGGATGGATGTGTGTCCTAAGTGACTGTCTCCCGTGCACCTTGTGAGAAGGGAGCTTGCTCATGTCCGGTTGACCCCGCCTCTGTGGCTGATGCAACTCTAGGCCCACCACCCGCCGCAAGCCCGAGCCCGAGGACCACACCGACGAGGCCCAGAAGAAGTTCGGCAACGTGAAGGCCATCTCTTCAGACATGTACTTTGGCAGACAAGCCCAGGCTGACGTAAGGGGCCACCGAGGCTGGGGAGGGTGGGGCAGCAGGGCTGCTCAGCCTGCTGGGCTCCAGAACCCAGAGCCATCTGACTGAGCTGCGGCTTTGGTCAGTTTGAAGCCAGCCAGGGCAGTCCGTGGGTGTGTGGTGGGGTAAATGCATTTGGGGTTGTGGCCTCTTGGGATGGGCGAGGGACAGTGGCAACTGCAGTCTCTGCGGGCAGGTTGCCTTTTGGCTCTGCGCAGACCTGCTGATGTTCAGCTTCAGCAGGGAAGAGGCAGAGGCTGTGGTATCGGGTCCCAGTGTCCACTCTGGGCGGCGTGCATGGCAGCTCGCTCCCTGCAGCCTCACATTCGCTCCCCTTGCTCCCAGTACGAGACCAGGGCCCGGCTGGAGAGGCTGTCAGCCAGCTCGGCCATCAGCTCTGCGGACCTGTTTGAGGAGCAAAGGAAGCAGACAGCAGGTACTGCCCCTACTGTCAGTCATGGCCTCGCATGTGGCCAGCAGGGGGCGCTCTCCCTGGGACTTTGGCCACCACTGTTGGATACCCGTGTCCACTGCGAGTTGGGGAGAGTGGGAGCAAGAGGCTTCCAGGACAGCTGCCCGCATCGTGGGCGTGGCATCACAACTCTGAACCCTGGAATTGGCCACAGCCCTTGGAGCCTCAGCCTTCCTCCAGCCCAGTAGGTGCAGAGCAGCTACCTCCTGGGGCGGGGTGGCTCCCAGAGGGCAGGAGAGTGGAGCACCTGGCTGGTGTCAGGCACGTGGCAGGTGCCTGGTGACTCCCAGGATGGCAGAGGTGGAGACACCACCTGTGTCTGTCTCGGGGAGTGTGAGGGCAGCCCTGGACGTGGGCAGGTGGAGAGGCTTGTCTAACCCCAGGTGTCCTAGGGCCAGGCCCCCATGGAGAGGTGTGTGGCATTCCAGGGCCAGGGGCCCAGGCTGAGCCAGACACCCGTGAGCCCAGGCAGGTGCCTCGGTGCAGGCACCTGGGGTCCATCCAGAGCCGCCCTACCCTCTGCTCTCACCTGTGTGTCCCCAGGTGAGGAAGCCTGCAGCAGGGTTCCCATGCTGACCTCCCCCAGGCCGGAGCCTCATCAAGCACTGGAGCCAGTGCCCTGGGTGCCCCTAACCCCTTGTTTCTAGCCCTGGAGGGGTGGGTTCCCGGAGCAGAGATAGGGCAGCACTGGGGACCCCCAGGGCCTAGTACCTTGTCAGGTTCTGAGGATTGTTGAGCACCCCCATAGTCCTGGGGTGCAGCAGGCCCTGCTGGGTGGCTGGTGCAGCGGCCATAAGCCCTCTAGCTGGGCGTCACCTGCTAAACCCAGGCTGTGCTGCTGGGGTAGGAGGGACCAGACTCTGAGGGAGCCAAGTCCCACACACCCACTGTGAGGGAAGCCAAGGCTTGCAGACAGGGTGGGTAGCTTCCTATGACTGCCCCTCGTGGAGACTGCTCATGGCCGTGGAGGGCCAGTGCCGCCCCACCCAGCAGCTCAGGGCCCAGCCCAGCACCCAGGCCACGTGTGCATGCACAGCTGGGCAGTGGGGGGTCGTGAACAGCAGCAAACCCACCTGCAGAGCATCAGGCACGCCCTTCCTGCTGCCCGGCTGAGCCCTGGGACGGGACATAGGGCCTCACTCAGGTTCTAGCCCGAAGCCGCGCAAGCTTGCAGCAGCTGGTTTGCAGTTGGCCCATTCGAAACCTGTGTGTTGTTGTCCTAACTGCGGCTTCCTGCCTCACATGCAGGCTGCTGGTGAGACGCTGTCCTACCCACCACAGAGGGCAGTGCGGCGGGCCACACTTCCTGAATATTCACCTTCTCCCAGTGTGTCCAGTGCAGCCCAGGGCGTGGAAGGGCAGACCCAGGTCTCCAAGGGTCGCTGGCCATCTCTCCATCACTCTGCAGTCTGTGTCTAAAATGCCTCCCCAGGAAGGGGACTGTGGCCTGTCACCCAGGAGCCCAAGAGTTCCCGGTGGCTTCACTGCTTTACATGTCCAGGAGCCCGGGGGAGGCCTGAGCCACTTGCCCACCACAGAGGAGGGGCACCTGCCCATGCCCCAGCACTGAGCACTGCCTGACCGGTTAAGCACCTTGCTGAGGCAGGAGCCCAGAGACAGGGAGGGACTTCTCCCAAGGCACACAGCCTGGGAGTGCTGTGCTGGGACCAGAAACCCCCTGCCAGTGTGGCGGTCCTAGACCTCCCCCCACCGTGGTCTGCAGTGACCCACAGCCCCCTGTGTCCCCCAGGCATGGGGGCCCTGGGCGGAAAGTGGTATGGGTGAGGGATGAGCCAGCACCACTCCGGTTGCAGGGACCTACAACCTGTCCAGCGTGCTGCCCAGTGCCCCCGACATGGCGCAGTTCAAGCAGGGCGTGAGGTCCGTGGCTGGGAAGCTGTCTGTCTTTGCCAATGGAGTCATGACATCCATTCAGGTCAGTGCGGTGGAGCTGGTACCCAGCGGGGCGGGGTGGGGCATCTTGGGAATGAAGTGGCACCCGCTGGGCAACTCCTGGGCAGCTGAACTTGTGGAACTGAGCCACGTGTTCGCTGCCCATTACCTGGGTGTAATAAAAGCGGGAAGTTAGTGTTTTGGATTGGCTTGAAATTGTCCAATTTCTGCCCTAAGGAACTTGATAGTGGACCCATTGTCATTATCCAGTGTTCTCCTGCAAGGGAACATAGACAGGTGAAGGGAACAGTGGGGTTATCTTGAACTGTTGCACCAGGACTGTCTCGTGCGGGTTTGTTAGACGCTGTTTTCATCCGGGGCCCACACATGCCTCTCTGAGCGTGCGAGGAGAGCTTTTCATCGATGAGGTTTTGGCCCCACGTTCTCTGCAGTGTGCTTGGGGCTTTTCTGTGTTTATTTGTTCCCCAACTTGGCTACCTGGATTCTTTCTCAGTCTTAATTTTGAAATATATTTTTTTAAAAAAAGAAATGTATTTGAAAAGCAGAGTTACACAGAGAGAGAATCTTGCATTCATTGGTTCTGCCAGCTGGGCCACCGCACATTCATTGGTTCACTGCCTAAGGGGCCACAGCAGCCAGGGCTGGAGTTGGGAGCCGGGAGCTTCTTCTGGGTCTCTCACGTGCGTCCAGGGGCCTGGGCATTTGGGCAGCCCACTATTGCCTTCCTAGGTACATTGTCAGGGAGCAGAAGTGGAGCAGCCTAGATTTGAACCAATGTTCAAGGGGGAAGCTGGTTACAGGTGGCGGCTTAGCTCACCTGTGCCGCAGCATCAGCCCCTGTAGCTCCATCGTTTGCAGTTTTTAATTTGTTTTGTTTTTACTTTATTTGAAGGGCAGGGAGACAGAGAAAGATCTTCAATATGCAGGTTCACTCCCCAAATAGCTGAAACAGCTGCAGCTGAACCAGGCCAAAACCAGGAGCCAGGAGCTCCGTGTAACTCTCCCTGTGGGTGGCTGTGGGTCACTGCAGTACTTGGGCCTTCACCTGCTGCCTCCCTGGGTGCCGTTAGCAGGGAGCTGGACTCAGGATTGGAGCCAGGAGTCCATGCTGGTCACCTGTGTGTGGGATGTGGGCGTCCCAAGCCGGCTCACCTGCCCGCTGCACCCGAAGTCCATCCCTGGGTCTCTGAAAGAAGCTGTGGCTGGAAGGGGCCGTGGTGACCAGGACGATGTCTGGCTGTGTAAAAGCATGTTTCTGGAAGCTTCCTGCTTGCCGTGGATTGTTTTAGACAGTTCTATTAGGAAGGCTCCAGGGGCCAGCACCCAAAGGGCTGGTGCCTCCAGAGGCGACTCCTGGGGGGTGGGAGACCTCTGCTGGGCCCCTGGGTGGCACTGTTTCCCCGTAACCGATGCCCAGCTCTTCCAGAACCTGTGGAGAGCATCACCCCCTTTGGATAGGTGACCCCCTTCTGTGACCCTGTATTCCAGGCAAGCAGCTGAGGCTAGGAGAGGTCAGGTCACTTCTACAGGGTCACCCGCTGCCCCTGTGGGTCAAGGTTGCAGACCCCAAATAATGCTGTCTGGGGGCTCCATGTGTGTCCTGAGCAGCGCTGAGCCTCCCCTGTGGGTTCAGGCTGCAGTGCCAGGTTCCATGTTCAAAGCCTGTGGGCACCCTTGGCCCAGGTCACTGCAGCAGAGCCACGAGAGGCAAGGCTCAGGCCGTGAACATAGCTGCTTCTTCCCAGGATCGCTATGGCTCCTAATGCGGGAGGCTCCCACGCTCCAGGACCAGCTCCTCCCGTGCTCCCAGGACCAGCTCCTCCCGTGCTCCGGGACCAGCTCCTCCTCCGGTGAACCAGCCATGCCCCAGCTGCCAGGAAGCCGTCGGCTTCGCGGTCTGTTTCACTGCCTCTCCCCGTGCTCTCAGTTTTCACTCTTTGGAGAAATCCCCCTTGTTGACGTAGTAGCAGCTTTAGCAACTTTTTTCTAATGCGGTTCGGTGTTCCTTCCTGCCCACCCAAGCAGGTGCCTTATTTCCTGGGACCCTGTAATGGCACAGCTGAACCTGCGACCGTCAGCTCCTCCCACTCCTACCCCCATAGGGAAGGTGGGGCCTGGAACCCAGCAGTGCAGGGGGTGAGGGGGGTGGTTGGGAGATTGAAAACGGCAAAGCATAAAACAGCACACACATTTAATTGAAAACAAAGAATGAAGCATGACAGAGCTCAGCGGGGCGAGACGGGAGGCGGGCGGCGGATGGGGCAACCAGCCCCACGGGGAGTGGCTTCGTGCCTATTTTTTCTCGCAATCTTGGTTTTCAAAAAATTAAAGGATGTGTGTAAATGAGTAGAGGGACCTCGCTGTGTTTTAGACAGCACTGGAACATACTGTCCGGCCCAGCGAAACACATGACAAACCTGATGAACCCCAAGTGTGACTTCAGATGAATATTTTGTGACTTTCTTAAGAACTCCAATTTGTAGACTTCTCAGTACAATAAACATTTGCCACAACCAGCCTGCCGCTCTGTAGTGCCTCATGCCAGCCAGGGCTGGGCCGTCACCCCAAGGCACCAGGAGCTGGTGCAGGGCATAGCTGGGGTCTGATGTCCACCAACCACCCCCAGGTCCAGAGAGTCGGGGCGTCAGTTCCGGCTGTGGGCTGTGGGTGGCACTCACTGCCCGCTCGCTCCAGGGCTGGGCTGAGACCAGGACTACATGGACGTGCGCGACTTCTTCCAAGGCCTCATCTGCAGACAGTCACAGCGGGCTCAGGTCGGCCACAGAGCAGGCTGCAGCGCCCGCCCCAGAAAGGCCAGCCTGAGTGGACCCTCTGATGCCTGTCCCCCTCCGGGAGGCCCCAGTAATCTCATACCCCCACGGGTCAGACTTGACCCTAGCTCCCTAGGCAGCCGAGGTGGGGGTGGGGCAAGATGTGAATTCCCGCGTCTGTGGGCCTTGCTGTTGGGTCTCGTCCGAAGTCATTTTGCATGGGCACTTCCTGCTTAGAGGCGGCAGCTCTGAGCTGTCCGAGGAGTGGATGGTGAAGATGACGAACCAAGGACAGTCGGAGGACAGAGGCTGGGCTGGGGTCCCCCTCTGGAGCCGGAGCCGTGCTGGAGAAGGGTTAGGAAAGCGAGGGTGGCTTTTGTGTTCACGCCTTCACACTGAATGGAAGTGGGGAGCTCTGAATACCCCCACCCCCAGCCTTCCTGCCCCCATCCCCCATCCCTCCCCTCACCCCGGCCTGCCTCAGACCCTGTTCTGCCCTTTGAGCCACCTGGCCCTCCCCACGACCTGTCCCCTTCACCAACCTGCAAACCTGTGCTCAGGTGGCTCTGCCCAGAGCCTGGCCGCACCCCTGCAGCCCAGGTGACCACCTGCTGCTCCCCTCCCCAAGTGGCCCTGCCTTTGCTCACCCACCTGGGCATTACCCCCCGTGTGCTGCCCACCTCCTCCCCAGCTCTGCCTCTCAGCTGGATGACCCTGCACCAAGTTCCCTGATGGTCACCCTTTTCAGAGTGGTTACCCTCCCCATGCCTCCACTCCACCCCTAATCCTGCTGGGTTACCTTCTGCCGGTCGCACACGGCAAAGACTGGCTGAGTCCCCCTTGCTCTGGTCTGTTGTGTCCCCAAGTGTCACCTATGTGATGTGCCTGGGACAAACAGGTTCTTAGCAAATGGGGTGTGTGTGTGTGTGTGTGTGTGTGTAAGTAATGCCCAGAAACACTGGGACTGGGCCCAGGCTGAAGCCAGGAGCCCAGAACTCCATCCAGTCACCCACATTGGGGGGCAGGGCCACGCTACTGGAGCTGTCATCATTGCTGAGGTGTGCCTTAGCAGGATGGGGCAGGCAGCCCAAGCTGGGAGTCGAACCTCTGCTCAGCAAGGACCCAGGATGAAGGCTGACGTGCAGAGATGACTAGAGGAGAGAGGAGACGTTGGAGCCAGGAGGAGGGGAGCAGGGGCTCCGGGCTGGGACACATGCTCCTGTCACCGCCCCTGCTCCAGTTCAAGGCACAGGGTGAGGTGTCTTTGTGCCCAGGACCCCATTTTGGTTACAGTCCATGAACATCCTATGACATAAAAAACAGGGGACCCAAGGGGTGATGGCCTTCTGGGACACATGTCATGGTGCATGGTGGCTCTGAGCCTAGGGCTTCAGGCTCAGGGCTACGGCCAGGCCTCCCACAGCCCGAGCCTCAGGTGGGCGCCCTCCCTCCTTTGCGCTGGTCCCGGGATCCACTTTCAGAGCCTCTCCTGGTCCCCTCACATTCCTCCACCTCCTCTGTCCTGTGCCCTGGCCACCCCATCTGGGTGTCTCCTCCAGTCTCCTGCCTGGTCTCTGTGTGGCCATCAGACCCGCGGGTCACCTGCTCACCTTTCACCTGTCACAGGCCTGAAGACAGAGTGAGGTGGGGCGGCATGACATCTGGGCCTGGCCCCACGTCCTGTCAGCACCAGGAGCCAGCTCAAGGCTCGGGGGAAGTGTGACACAGGGTGTCAGTGTGGTGGCGCCCATGGTGTGGGCAGACTCGGGCTCAGTGTCCAGGAGAGGGCTGCTCCCAGTGAGGGCCTTGCTGTGTCACAGTGGTGACAAGGCTACTCCCAAGCAATGGCAGCCCTTCCTCGTGCACACCGTCCACCCGCCACTTGCTCGGGGCTTAGGCTGGTTGTGTTGTGTAGTGGATCGTTAGAGTCCCAGCTGCTGTGCTGCCGAGCCAGGTCCCAGCAAAGCCCATGAGATGAATGATAGCTCAAGGGCTTCGCACCTGCAGCCCCCAGGGGAGACCTGGAAGGGGCTCCAGGATCCTGGTCTCGGCCTGGCCCAGCACTGGCCATTGCACCCACATGGGAGATGAGCCAGCAGATGGAACAACACGTCTCTCTCGTTCAGACCTCTGCTTTCAAATGAAGGGAAAAAGTCCCACCTGTTGCCCTTGCTGCATTCGGAATCAGGTTTCCATGGGAACCTGGGCGCCTTGCTAGCATGCCCAGGCCAGGACACACGGCGTCTAAGGTGCCATGGGCACTGCTATTCACAGTGACCAGCACTCCATCTAGGTGGCTGCAGGGGCCCAGGCATTCCCGCCACTGTCAGCAGCATTCACAAGGAGCTGGATCAGAAACAGGCACAATCAGAACTCAAACTGTTGCCCGTGTGGGTCCCTGGCATCACAAACAGCAGCATTACCTGCTGTGTGACAGTGCCAGCCACAGGCCACACATTATCAACTGGAATCCCCAGAGAGCAGAGGAGACCTGGCCATCCTATCCAGCAGGGTCTGGGTTCTTGAGAACTGGACAGCACACAAAGAGAATGCAAGGCTGGGGATGAATCTGAGAGTGGGTGGCCATTTCCACAATGGCTTGCACCTTACTTGCCATCAGCAAGTGCCACTGGGTGGGAGAAAATGGTGCAGGAGCCCCCAGAGCAGGGTCCTCACCAAGAACACCCAGCAGACAGTCAGGAGGGTCCCAGGGTCCTGGGAGAGAGCCTGGGCAGCACCGGCAGCGTGGCCAGAGGGGCGGGGAGGGCGCCACCCAGGCCAATTCCCGCTGCTGGGAACTGGGGTTCTGGAGGAGAGGAGCTTTCCCAGGCTGTTCCCTCCTGGAAGAGGGGCAAAGGCTGAGATAAAGGGGCCACTTTGGGGCTTCCATGGAGGCAGCAGTGGGATCTCTGGATATATGTTGCAGGCAGCAGGGCGGCGGCAGGCCCAGTTACCAAGGTCACTAGCAGTCATGTCGTGGGGTTCCTGGGCCCCCAATGGGCCTTTGGTTTCTATTTGGCTTGGGATGATAAGCTATTCCCAGCAGAGGTGTGGCCTCATCTGACCTTCAGCCACACTTGCTGGGAATTGAAAGGGAGGCAGGGAGGCCAAGGCCAGGCCTGGGGCATGGGAGGAAGACGCTAGGAAACCCTTGCAACCTTGCAGGGAAGGGGCAAGGCAGTGCCTAGGCCAAGTGGGGTGGGCTGGCAGCAGTGCCGATGCCTCCCTGACAGGATCCGGCATGGATGTGTGCAGGCCCGGGGAGGGGTAGACTGGGCAGGTGTGAGATCAGGAGCCAGGTGTGCCGGGTCAGAGGGCAGAGGAGCCTGAGGAGGGGGCACGCTCTAAGGCCATGGTCCATGCTCCAGGGGGGACAGGAAGTCAGCTCCACACTGCCCTCCTCACTCGGCCCACACCAGTAGCAGCCTGCGGTGGGGCCACTGTGCCCATCAAGGTTAGCTGTCCCCGCCCACACATGGGAGAGATCTTGCTTTTCCATCAAAACGCCTAGAGGTGGGTAGTGGGGAGTTGCTGGCACTACAGGGCTGTCTGTGACCAAGCTCCGACTACTGACCCTTCTGCCAATCTATGGCATGCCCTAGATTTTCTCAAAGCAGGTGCCACAGAGCTGGCATGTATACTGTGGTTTGTTCACCCCCGACCTGAGGTGCTGCATCTCAAATGGGCACCATTTCATGTCCCAGCTCCTCCACTTCCATCCAGCTCCCTGCTGCTGGCCTGGGAAGGCAGCAGAGGACGGCCCAAAGCCTTGGGCCCCTGTACCAGCATGGGAGACCCAGAAGAAGCTCCTGGCTCCTGGCTTTGGTCTGGCCCAGTGGGAATGACCACAGGACAGAAGATCTCTCTCTCTGTCTCTCCCTCTCTCTGTAACTCTGCCTTTCAAATAAAAATAGAATATCTTGAGCCTGGCCCAGCTCCAGCACAGGTGACAAGAGCTTGAACACTGTACCTTCTCTGACCCTCACGGCACTCCTGAGGAGGCCACGTGGGTGAGTCCATTCCCCAGCCCGGTAAACTGGGGGTTCCCAGTCATGACCAAGCTACTCCTATTACTCACATGTTATACTCTAGAGTAAACCAAGATCACAGGGCAGGACTCTGATTGGCTTGTCTCCAGTCAGGGCCCACCCCCTGGCCAATCAGAAGTGGCCAAAGAGTGACAGCCCATGAGAAGGGATGCTTCTGAGGGCGCCTGGTCTCGGTGGGGAGGGGAAGCATGCCGCTGCCTGAGGGACTCTGCATCTTTGGACAGTCTGTGTCCAGGGGAGGAACAGGGTCAGCCAGGTTGTGTGAAGACAGCCCCCCAGGGTCTCTGGGCACGCTCCCAGGGCCCGGCTGGGTCTGAGCAATTCCTGAGGGTCCCACGTGGTGTTGTTGGACCTTGATCCCAGCACCCCAGTTCAAGGCAGACCTGGGCGTCCTGCACTCCAGGGCAGGCCCAGTGGCAGCAGTGCCCAGGCCACACACAGCCCACATCGAAGTGCCCGTGACCCAGCCCGGCCTCTGCCTCTGCTTCCTGTACAGCTCCCTGCAGATGTGGCTGGGGCTGCAGCAAAGGCCCAAGTGCCTGCGTCCCTGCCGCCCGTGCGGGACACCCACACGGAGTCTCTGGCTGCTTCAGGCATTTGAGAAGTGAGTTTCTGCATGGAAGCTCTCTCTCTTTCTCTCTCTGAAAACAAATCTAAAAGGAATTTAAGACTGTGGAGATCTGCCAGGAAGCTGCA